AGCAGCCTGAAAACTGATTCTGAAAATTAGTACCAGTAGAGTGGGGTATTGCTTAAAAGATACCCGAAAATATGGAAGCAGCTTTGGAACTGGGTGACAGGTAGAGATTGGAACAGTTTTGAGGGCTCAGAAGAAAACATGAAAGTGTGGGAAAGTTTGGAACTTCCCAGAGACTTGTTGAATGGTTTTGACTAAAAGCCTGATAGCAATATGAACAATAAGTTCCAGGCTGAGGTGGCCTCGGATGGAGATGAGGAACTTGTTGGGAACTGGAGCAAAGGTGACTCTTGTGTTTTAGCAAAGAGACCGATGGCATTTTGTCCCTGCCCTAGAGATTTGTGAAACTTTGAACTTGAGAGAGATGATTTAGGGCATCTGATGGAAGAAATTTCTAAGCAGCAAAGCATTCAAGAGGTGACTTGGGTGTTGTTAGGGGCATTCAGTTTTATAAGGGAAGCAGAGCATAAAAGTTAGGAAAATTTTAAATTTGACAATGTGATAGAAAAGAAAAAAAAAAAAAACATTTTCTGAGGAGGAATTCAAGCCCGCTGAGGAAATTTGCATAACGAATCAATAGCCCAATGTTAATCCTCAAGACGATGTCTTCACAGCAGCCCCTCTCATCACAGGCCCAGAGGCCTAGGGGAAAAAAAAAACTGGTTGTGTGGGCTGGGCCCAGAATCCCTGTGCTGTGTGCAGTCTAGGGACTGGGTACTCTGCATCTCAGCTGCTCCATCCTTGACTACAAGGAGCCAAGGTACAACTCAGGCTGTGGCTTCAGAGTGTGTAAGCATCAAGCCTAGACAGCTTCCATGTTGTGTTGAGCCTTTGGGGGCACAGAAGTGAATAATTGAGGTTTGTGAACCTCTGCCTAGATTTCAGAAGATGTATGAAAACACCTGGATGCCAAGGCAGAAGTTTGCTGCAGGGGCGGGGCCCTCACAGAGAACCTCTGCTAGGGAAGTAGGAAGTGAAATGCGGTATTGGACTCTCCACACAGAGTCCCTGCTGGGGCACTGCCTGGTGGAGTGGTGAGAAGAGGGCCACTGTCCTCCAGACCGAAGAATGGTAGATCCACCGACAGCTCGCACCGCTTGCCTGGAAAATCTACAGGCACTCAATGCTGGCCGGAGAAAACAGCTGGGAGGGAGGCTGTACCCTGGAAAGCCATTGCAACAGAGCTGCCCAAGACAATGGGAACCCACCCCTTGCATGGATGTGAGACCTGGAGTCAAAGGAGATCATTTTGGAGCTTTAAAATTTGACTGCACTGCTGAATTTCGGACTTGCGTGGGCCCTGTAACCCCTTTGTTTTGGCCGATTTCTCCCATTTGGAATGGCTGTATTTATCCAATACCTGTTCCCTTATTGTATCTAGAAAGTAACTCGCTTGCTTTTGATTTTATAGGCTCTAGGCAGAATGGACTTGCTTTGTCTCAGATAAAGACACTTTGTACTGTGGACTTTTGGGTTAATGCTGAAATGAGTTAAGGTTTTTGGAGACTGTTGGGAAGACATGATTGGTTTTGAAATATGATGATATAAGATTTAGAGGGACCAGGGCAAAATGATATGGTTTGGCTGTGTCCCCACCCAAATCTCATCTTGAATTGTAACTCCCACAATTTCCATGTGTTGTGGAAAGAACCCAACTGAAGATGATTGAATTATGAGGGCAGGTCTTTCTTGGGCTGTTCTTGTGATAGTGAGTCTCATGAAATCTGATGGTTTTTTTTAAAATGAGAGTTTTTCTACACAACCTCTTTCTCTTTGCCTGCTGCTATCCACATAAGATGTGACTTTTTCCTCCTTGCCTTCCACCATAATTGTGAGGCTTCCATAGCCATGTGGAACTGTAAGCCCAATTAAACCTCTCCTTTGTAAATTGCCCAGTCTCAGGTATGTCTTTACCAGCAGTGTGAAAATGGACTGATAGAGCTATATTTTATTCTTTTAAGTTCATATGAAATATTTTATATTTTAAAATAAAATGTTTCAAATGAGCCTGCAAAGTAAAGATTAAATGGAGCACAGGGTGGTGAGCAAAGGACACCTGTTGTTAAAAGAATCCATCATTCCGGGAGCCTATCAGGACCTGGGGTCTGTTCTAACCTCCCTGCCACAAGCAAAGAAATGTTTCCTTTTATATTTGAAATACTAGTCTGAGGGATTCTGTTGGCTTTTCTGCCAAGTTAGAAACATGGCTTTGGGGGTTAGTAAACAATTGATCTTTTGGAGATAATTTCAGGTTTTTGAGAATTCTTTTTCTGACTACTAAAGGCAGTCATTAGAAATGTTGCTTTTTCTCTGTGTAACCATAATCCTAAGGCACTGGATCATCAGATAAGAGAGACCAAGGAAGGGTTCCACAATCTTACTAGATGGTCAGCAACAGATGAAATGTTCTTCAGGTCCAGTATCCAGGCCTTTAGTGCATGCACTCTTGGGCCCCAGCCGTATTTCTGGGGGGTCCTCTAAGAAATAGTAACCACCAGATAGAAAGGAGACAGCTGTCTAGCTCATATGATGGTGGCTCATAGGCAGAAAGCACGACTGGCCAGTGAAGCCTGAGGTGTGGCACCTCTCTTTCTTCTCAGAGTCTTCTTGGATCTTTCTCCTGTGAGGTGCTACGACCCTTGGTGTAGATTTTCACCACAGTTTGCATGAATACATTGTTGGAACTGGAGGAAATTTGCAAAGTTATTTCAGTCATTTGTAGCCTTTTAGAAGTGACTCATGCGAAATGCCAATTAAGTACTTCACAACCAGTAATCCTGGACAGCTGACTTATCTTTCCAGTTAGAACTGGTGAAGCTCCAGACAGGATTTGCTTTATTTAAATGAACTTCAAATTTTAGAATAGTTTTACAGTTACAGAGAAGTTGCAGAGATAATACAAAAAGTTCCTTTATGCCCCTGCACCCAGTTTCCCCTATCGTTAACATCTTATATTACTATCTAGACAGTATTTTTAAGACAAGAATTTCTACCTTGTTTGGGTATGTGGTCATGTTTTATTCACAGATTTCATACCTCAAAGATTCCACAAACATGAAAGTATGTAGCACAATTAAATGATTTTTCATTTATAAAGTAACCTGAAAATAAAAACAAGTACCTTAGCAAAACAGTTAAAATTGCTGTCATGGTGCTTGGTATATCTCAGGGCTCCACAAATATTTATTGAAAGAATGAGCAAGGGAATGCATTGTCTCTCTGTGTCCTACTGAGAACCTCAAGTTCTTAAAACTTTCAGAAAAGGTCAAATTATCTCATATATAACTTGTTCTGTCTTACTGAGGTTTGAATTCTTACTACGGATTGACTTAAGACATAATTTATCCTTTCTTTTTTTTTGAAATAAAAATGTTTTTGAGACAGGGTCTCACTGTCACCTAAGCTGGAGTGCAGTGGCGCAATCATGGCTCACTATAGCCCCAGCCTCCTGGGCTCAAGTGATCCTCCTACCTCAGCCTCCTGAGTAGCTGCGATTATGGGAGCATGCTACCACACTGAGCTAATTTTTGTGTTTTTTGTACAGATGGGTTTTCACCATTTTGCCCATGGTGAACTCCTGAGATCAAGCATTCCACCTATTTCAGCCTCCCAAAGTGCTGGGTTACAGGCATAAGCCGCTGCACCTAGCCAATTTATTCTTATTGATGTAGGATTTTTCTCAGCCTCTTAACCATGCTCATAAAAGGGGTGCCCTGTTGACTTGGCTCCCTGCAGGAGGGAGCATGTGAGCAAGTGAGCATAGGATATAGCCAGCTACTCTGTGTGCCAAGACAGGAACAAGTTCTGTGCAGCGCCTGCAGCCAGACTAGGCTTGTCGCCTTTAGGGGAATGTGGCGGTGCCTGGCTGAGGGTGCCCGTGACCCTGAAGCCCTAGAGGGGGTGTTACAGCCCTCCTTTAGTTCTGCTGTCCGCAGATGGCGGTGTGTTAGTAGTTCATTTGGCTCCTTGCCTCGTTGTGTGGGGCAGCTGCCCTCTGCCAGCAAAGGCAAAGGACTGGTGTAACAGCTTTTCTGGGTACCTACATTTGGTAGGTCCTGAGCTCTTATCCAGCATCCAAGAAGAATGAGGTCACGTGGACAATTGAAAATGATGAAGGCAAAGAATTTTATTGAGTGATGAAAATGGCTTTCAGCAGGGAGGGGAGCTGGAGAGGAGACAGGAAGGGCAGATTGTTTTCCCTGAAATCAGGTATTCTCTTCCCTGAAATCAGGCCATCTCCTCCTCTACTGATTGAGTCTGGGGTCTTTATAGTCATGAGATAGGGAGTGCGTGCTGATTGGTTTGTAATTATCCAAAAAAGTTTAAAGTGAAGACACCATTCAAAGGTGAGCATAAAAGTGTGGAAAACCAATTAGGAAAGGGTAGGTATATGTAAAATAGGGGAAGTCTGGGGATCAGTCAGAGGAAGGTGTGCCAAACAGTAAGACAAGTTATCAGTCCGGTCGTAGGAATTAACTTGCAGCTTGGCTTTCAGGCTTTAAATTGTCTTTGGCATGGAGGCTGGGTTTCACTTGGGACCTGCTCCTATCTGCCTAGGCATTTGGCTGCCTCCTGTTGCTATAATTAATATCATGAATCCTTGGTGTTACCTCCATCTAGCCACTTATTTTAATCTACCAGTAGGTAACAATAAATGCCTGTTATTTGCCCTGCCCACTGTATCCTGGTGAACACTAAAGCATAGACTTTTGTTTTTTTTTTTTTTAAATATCATTTTTCTGTCTTTAAGACTATATATTTTGCTTCAATATGCATTTGAGCTATGCTATATCCTATACTACTTTGTCAAAAAAGGTTTCATCTTGGGGTAATACCGACATAGGCGTATTGTATGAAAAAATCATCTTTTGTAGTGCCCGAATACACTTCTAAAGTCTATAATCCAAGTAAATAGAAGAAACTGGAATGTTTTTGTCAAGAAAAGTAAAAATTATTTATTTGGAAAGTAGACTATTCAGCAATTAATCTTTTTATATTTTCAGGATTCAGCTGTGGAAATGGTTATGTCAAAACAACTTTCTCTCAGTGTTCAAGAAAGCATGAAAAACACTGAAGATGAGCAGAAAGTCAATGAGCTGCAAAATCAACCTTTAGAATTAGATATTATGTTAAGAAATGAACAATTAGAAGAAATAAAGGTATGGAAACCTGAAAAACACTGACTGGATGATTGCATCATTTATCCATTGCAATACAATATATTTTAATTGCCAAAATCTTGCTTGTACAGAGTGAAAAGTCTTATTTAACCTTTGCCTGATGATGAATTTGGTAACTGTATAATTATGTATGAAGTAAGTTGTATAAATCTTTCCATTTAGAAAGTAGAAGAGTTTAATGAACATTAGTCTTCTTTCTATTTCACAAAGTTCCTAAAAACTTAGTGACAAAATTTGGAGATATTGACTTGCCATCATTCCTTTTGTTAGTCATATATATTCTTCTGATTCTGACAAATGTATTTCTCCTAACAATCAGTGTTATGAGCATCCTCCTCTTTTGTTTTTACATCTGTGTTTACATAGTTAGGTTTATGTATTTATATGCTTCCAGCTGTATAAAGTCATCAAAAAATACAACATATGGCCATGTTCTAAAAAGCGAAATTGTGGCCAGGCATGGTGGCTCATGTCTGCTATACCAGCACTTTGGGAGGCTGAGGTGGGAGGATTGCCTGAGTCTAGCAGCTGGAGACCAGCCTGGACAACATTGTGAAACCCCATCTCCATCAAAAAAAATTACAAAAATTACTTAGGTGAGATGGCATTTGCCTGTAGTGTCAGCTACTCAGTAGGCTGAGATAGGAGGATCACTTGAACCCAGGAGTTCAAGGTTGCAGTGAGCTGTAATTATGCCACTGCACTCCAGCCTAGATGACAGAGCAAGATCCTGTCTCTAAAAAAAAAAAAAAACCAAAAGGAAACTATAAACCATCCGTACAATTTTAGCCAAGTTTCCACAACAGTAAACATGCATCTAAAATAAAAATAAGATGAATCTTCCTTTAGATATTGCAGAGCCCTTTAAGAGAGTAGAGTGATCTAATTGACATTAAATGCTGGACCAATGGTGATTTTTTTTTTGGGAAGAAAAACCTTTTTTTTTTTTTGAGACGGAGTTTTGCTCTTGTTACCCAGGCTGGAGTGTAATGGCGCGATCTCGGCTCACCGCAACCTCCGCCTCCTGGGTTCAGGCAATTCCCCTGCCTCAGCCTCCTGAGTAGCTGGGATTACAGGCACGTGCCACCATGCCCAGCTAATTTTTTGTATTTTTAGTAGAGACGGGGTTTCACCACGTTGACCAGGATGGTCTCGATCTCTTGACCTCGTGATCCGCCCGCCTCGGCCTCCCAAAGTGCTGGGATTACAGGCGTAAGCCACCGCACCCGGCCCAAGAAAAACCTTTTAAATGTTAGGGATATGGTGGCTCATGCCTGTCATCCTAGTCCTTTGGGAGGCTAAGGCAGGAAGATTGCTTGAGACCAGGAGTTCGAGACCAGCCTAGGCAACATAGCAAGACTCTCAGCTCTACAAAAATAAAAATAAAAAAGTTATCTGGGTGTGGTGGCATGCATCTGTAGTCCTAGCTACCTAAGAGGCTGAGGTAGGAGACCTAAGCCCAAGAATTTGAGGTTACAGAGCTATGATTGCACCCTGCATCCTATCCTGGGTGACAAAATAATAATAATTTTAAAAGTTACAACTGTGGTTACCCTATGTGCAAATGAAATATGTAAAACCTCTTCTTGACAAAAGAGTGTGTTATCTCAAAGAAAGAGGGAAGAAGATGAATGAAATAATGCATAAGTAAGTGAGTGTTTATTGACTGATTTGCATGACTTATTTTTAGGAATTATATACCCAGTTGGAAGCAAAGAAAGCAGCCCTTGAGCCACTGGAACAAACGGAATGTCTCAGCAAAACAGAAACTGGGGCCTTGAGTCTCCACAATGCAGGATATTCAGCACAGCACTTGGACAATTTGCTTCAGGCACTTATTACTTTGAAGAAAAACAAAGAAAGCCAATATTGTCTCCTCAGAGATTTTCAGGAACACCTTGCTGCAGTTGAATCCTCAATGAAAGCCTTGTTGACAGACAAGGAAAGCCTAAAAGTGTAAGTGTAAGAATTTAGGACTTGCATTCGTTTTATTCAAGCACAATCATCTACCACTTTGGACAGGCCCAGAGTTTTAAGAGTTTATATTGTGAAAGGGTATTCTGACTTTAAAACTACAATATTGAAATTTATTTCATATGTATGCTGTCTTTTTTTGGGCTGCTGTAACAAAATACTGCAGACTAGGTGGCTTATAAAAAACAGAAAATTATTTCTTACTGTTCTGGAGGGTGGGAAGTACAAGATCAAGGCAACAGACGATTCAGTGCCTAATGAGGGCCTGCTCTCTAGTTCACAGATGGCACATCTTAGCTGTGGCCTCATATGTAGCAAGAGCAGTGCAGCTCTCTGGAGTCGCTTTTATAAGGGCTCTACTCTTACTCATAGGAGCTTCACCCTCATGACCTAATCATTCCCCGAACATCCTAATTCTTAGTGCCATTACATTGGTGATTAAGTTTCAAAATATTAATTTTAAGGGACATACATTCAGACCATAGCAGAAGCCATTTAAGGAAACTGTTGGTTTAATGCAAAAAAAAAAAATTTATATTATTGCATATGTTTTACATAGTAATTTATGAAACAATTCAGACTGTAAATATCTACAAAATAGATTTACAATCTATGGAATTCAGTATTATTTTTGTCAAGAATTTCTTCTAAACTGGGCAGGGGAGAGAAACATATAATTGTTTAGTATCAGCATAATTAAATAGTTTGGTATATATTCAATGCATATGTATTGCAATGTTTTCTTTTAAAATTTATGCACTCCTTTTGGCTATGAAAATGATGGCAAATGGTATTAGATGGAGTCTTAATATGTAAATATTTTCTCATTATTAAAAAAGTTTATTTTAGGCCAGACATGGTTGCTCACACCTGTAATCCCAGCACTTAGGGAGGCTGAGGCAGGTGGATCACTTGGGGTCAGGAGTTTGAGACCAGCTTGGCCAACATGGTGAAACCCTGTCTCTACTAAAAATACAGAAAAAATTAGTCAGGCATCATGGCACACACCTGTAATTCTAGCTATTCAGGAGGCTAAGGCAGGAGAATCACTTGAACCTGGGAGGCAGAGGTTGCAGTGCGCTGAGATCACCCCACTGCATTCCAGCCTAGGTGACAGAGCGAGGCTCTGTCTTAAAAAAAAAAGTTTATGTTATACTTAGATCTAAATGGGGTTTGCTTTCAGTAATATCCCTTAAGGAAACAATTTAGTTTAGCTTGATGATTGCAGCTTTTTAGTCAGTGTCTTTCCCTTTGTTGGAAAGATGACAAAGTGGTTGGATATTATGGTAATATCTCTCAGACCTGGACTAACCTTTATACAAGTACTTTACAGTTTACAAAATATTTTTATGTACATTCTTCCCTTCACTTTTCGTTTTTTCCTATGGTTATTCATTTTTATGATACTCCTTTTCTTTTCTTTTTCTCACTCAAAGTAATTTATAAGTGAGTTTTCGATATTAATTGAAAGCCACAGTAAACAAGATTCTGATTTTTATTTTAAGGATAGATTTTTTTTACAGACAGCCTAATTTTTTCTTTGAATTTAGAGCAGAATTAGTTTCTTCTAATGATATTTATCCACGTTTTGATGTAGAATAAGCGTTAAATATTAACAAGCTCTGTTTCTATTCTTTTTCTAGAGGACCACTGGACAGTGTAACATATCTGGACAAAATTAAAAAATTCATAGCATCTGTAGAAAAAGAAAAAGATTCTTTAGGTAACTTGAAAATCAAATGGGAGAATTTATCAAACCATGTGACTGACATGGATAAGAAATTGTTGGAAAAACAGATTAAGCAACTTGAACATGGTTGGGAACAAGTGGAACAACAGATTCAAAAGAAGTATTCTCAGCAGGTAGTGGAATATGGCGAGTTTACATCTCTCATGAGTAAGATACGGGACACTGAGATTTCTCTACAACAACAGCAGCAGCATCTACAGTTAAGGCTGAAGTCTCCAGAAGAACAGGCAGGGAACCAAAGCATGATTGCCTTGACCACTGACCTCCAGGCTGCCAAGCATGGATTTTCTATTTTAAAGGGACAAGCTGAATTTCAGATGAAGAGGATATGGGGAGAAAAAGAAAAGAAGATTTTGGAGGATGAAATAAATAACTTGAAGAAACAATGGGAAACATTGGAGCCGTTAAACTTAAAAGCAGAAAATCAGATTAAGAAGTGTGACGTAAGGAACAAGATGAAGGAGACCATCTTATGGGCCAAGAATTTGTTGGGTGAACTTATTCCCTCCATTTCCCTTCTGCCAGATGACATTCTTTCACAGATCAGAAAATGCAAAGTGACACATGATGGCATTCTAAATAGGCAGCAGGCTGTGGAATTGTTGGCTGAAGAGGTCAAAGATAAGGTTCCTAGCCTTACAACCTGTGAGAGCAGTGATTTAAATAATACCCTAGAGGACTTACGGAATCAATACCAAATGCTGGTCTTAAAATCAACTCAAAGATCACAGCAGTTAGAATTTAAGTTGGAAGAAAGAAGTAATTTTTTTGCGATAATAAGGAAGTTTCAACTTATGGCTCAAGAAAGTGAAACACTGATAACTCCCAAGGTGGAGGCAACTACCACAGAAGCTGAACTAAAACATCACCATGTTACTTTGAAGGCATCTCAGAAGGAATTGCAAGAAATTGACAATGTAATCTCAACATATCTTCAGGAACTAACAAACATCTCTGAGGAACTAAATGTGTTTGAAAGATTATTTCTGGATGATCAATTGAAAAATCTTAAGAATAGGACCAACAGAACACAAAGATTCATTCAGAATAAATGTAATGAAGTAGAATACAAGGTAAATTTTTGCAGAGAATTCCATGAAAAAACATTAGCGCTTCAGGAGGAGGTTGACAGTATACAGCACAATGAACTACTACTTAATCAAGAAGTAAATACAGGTGTTAAAGAGGAGATCTATAATCTTAAAGACAGACTCACTGCTATTAAGTGTAGCATCTTACAGGTATTGAAACTTAAAAAAGTGTTTGACTTTATTGGACTAAACTGGGATTTTTCACAACTTGACCAATTACAGACCCAAGTATTTGAAAAAGAAAAGGAACTTGAAGAAAAAATCAAGCAGTTGGACACATTTGAGGAAGAGCATGGCAAATATCAGGCATTGCTAAGTGAAATGAGAGCTACTGATTTGCAAATTAAGAAAATGACTGAAGTAGTACTAAAAGCTCCTCATAGCTCTCCAGAAAGCAGACTGCTCAATGCACAAATTTTAAGTCAGAGAATTGAGAAAGCCAAGTGCTTATGTGAAGAGATAATAAAGAAATTAAATGATAATATGGCCTTTGATGACTCATTCAAAGAGAAAGAAATACTACAAATAAAGCTGAATGCAGAAGAAAATGATAAGTTATACAGAGTTCTCCAAAACATGGTATTAAATCTCCCACGAAAAGAAATGGATGAAAAGAATTTTCAGGACAAACTAGAAACTTCCTTTCATGTTTTAAATCAGATAAAATCTCAATTACAGCAGCCTTTACTTATAAATTTGGAAATTAAACATATTCAAAATGAAAAGGACAATTGTAAAGCATTTCAGGAGCAAGTTTGGGCAGAAGTGTGTAGTATTAGAGCTGTGACTGCTATTGAGAAGCAAAGAGAAGAAAACTCTTCAGAAGCGAGTGACGTGGAGACAAAACTACGTGACTTTGAAGATCTTCAGATGCAGCTTACCACAAGTGTTGATTTGCGCATAGTAAGTTTTAAAAATTGGGTAGTTAGTGACTGGGTGCTGGGGCTTACACCTATAATCCCAGCATTTTGGGAGGCCAAGGCGGGCGGATCACTTGAGGCCAGGAAGTAGACACCAGCCTGGCCAATGTGGCAAAACCTCATCTCTACTAAAAATATTTTAAAAATTAGCTGGTTGTGGTGGTGCATGCTTGTAATCCCAGCTACTCAGGAGGCTGAGACACAAGAATCACTTGAACCTGGGTGGCGGAATTTGTAGTGGGTCAAGATGGCGCCACCGCACTCAGCCTGGGTGACCAAACTAGAGTCTCAAAAAAATAAGTAAAATAAAATTGGACAGTTAATGCATCTGTTTTTGTTTTGTGATTTTCTGTTTTGCTGGTTAATGTCTGTAATTCTAAAGAAGCTATAGGTTCTACATGAATTTCTCTCCAGAAAGAGAGCCATTTTCAAAAATTACAGTGAACTGGTTTGTAATCTGACTCATACTGCATCTAAATGCAGTGCCTTCTAGTTTTGAAAAGGACAAACCTGACTCCTTTATCTCAGTTTTCCTTGTAGCCTCTATTGAGCTCAGAACATTAAAAAAAATTTTTTTTCTTTTTTCTTTTTAGAGGTAGTAAGATATAGTGGAAGAATTATGGTGCGAGGGAAGAACCCCAAACAATAACTAACATTTATGTAGAACTTACACTGTTGGAGACGCTGTGCTAAAAATTTCATGTTGAATTTTCATAGCCACTCTGTGAGATGGGTACTATTATTAGCCCCACTTAAAAATAATGAAATTGAAGTTTAGAAACATGAAGATTTTTCTGAGTCTTGAGAAAGTAACAGAACCAGAGCAGGAAACATCACATTAAAGCCCGTGAGCCAAATCCTTCCCCCAGTGCCTGACTTTTATAAATAAAATTTTATTGGAATATAGCCATACCCATTTGTTTTTGTGTTGACTACATTTGTTTTCATGCTATAGCAGTAGAGTTCATTGTGATTATTTGCTCACCTCTGTTGAAAAGTGACTCGAACATACTCCCTTCCCTTCCTTTTGATAGAATAGATATCTTAGGCATCATTGTAATTCACACTGTGCTCAATATAATGCCATACATAGTGTTTTCAGATTGATCACATGAAATTTGTAGGATGGGAAATTAACTCCCTTTTCTAATTTGAAGAGTTATTATGAGATACTATATTTGGAATATTTTGATAGATGTAAAGGCTATGGAAATGTAAAGTATTATGAATTCATAATACTCAAATAGTTTTGCAATAAATGAGTAATTTGAGTGCTTCTTCGCTTGAATTTTAATACAGTCTCCGGGAACAGTGTACATAAATCCCAAAAATAATAGGATTAGAACTGAACTGGAAGGGATGTTTATTTATTTCAACTATTTGTTATTTCAACGAGATGACTGAAGTCTGGAGACATTCATTCAATAATGTACCTAAACTAAAGTTAGTGGCAGAGAAATTAGTTCAAAAATATAAAATGTCTCGTGGTTTTGTTTTCTTTTCATTTGTTCGCAAATGTTGGTTAAGGTTATATACATTAAACATAATCCATTGTTTTATTTAATTCATAGTCTAGTACAAGAGTTCCAAACCAGGAAGATACATTAATAGACATTATTCTTGAGATGTTATTTTGAATTTAGATTATTTTTCTTATTAAATCTGGAAACAACTTTTTTAATGCAGTGTTATTCACTTAAAAATAATAGTGTAATATTGTCAAACTGTAAGCATGAGACTGCTAACTCTTGTAAGACTCGGAGACATATTACGAATGCACCACAAAAATTTAAGAATGACAGAAGTTCCAAAAGTTTGACAGTTTTGTCACAGCATTTAATCTCTTATTCACCAGAAAGACTTGGATGATGCTTATGAAAATCTAACACGCTATAAAGCAGCAGTCACCAGGGCAGTAGAGAGCATCACTTCCCTTGAAGCCATTGTTGTACACTACAGAATAGACATTGGTAATCCAGAAGAATCTCTAGAGATGCCTCTTCGAAAACAAGAGGAATTGGAATCCACAATAGCAGACATCCAGGACCTCACTGAGAAACTGGGAATGATATCCAGCCCCGAAGCCAAATTAGAACTTCAGTGTACTTTACAGGAACTGGTTTCTAAGAACTCAGCAATGAAGGAAGCTCTCAAAGTACAGGAAACTGAGGCAGAAAGGTAGGTCCTCTTCCAAAGATAATCTTTAAGAACATAAAACATAGCTTTAAGACATAATTCAACTATATTTTAAAATACAGTTTTAAGAACATAAAGTTTTTTTTATTAACGTATGCATTAGAGATAATTTGGAAAATACGGTAAAGTAGAAAAAAATACAATGTAAAGAAAACTGGTAAATATTGTATTTCTTCTGTTTTTGTTGTTGTTGTTTTCTTATTTAATATTGGGTACATACAACAGAGTGTTTATAAAAGTATGTGCATGTTATAAGTAATAATGATAAAACTAACATCTGTGTACCCAAAGGTACATCATCAATTTGAGTTCTCTTGTGTGCTCCTTCTCTCTCCTCTCAGAAATAACCATTCTGCTAAATTGTGTTTACTGTTCTCCTTACTTTCATTGTACTTTTACTATGTGTTTGTGTGTCCTGTTGTCACAATTTCAAACTAATACCTAGTGTGTTCATTTTTCTGTTTTTTTTTTTTTTTTAATTTTTGTGAGTATATTTATGGCATATATGGAATATTTTGATACAGGTATGCAGTGTGTAATAATTGCATCAGGGTAGATGAGATATTCATCATTTCAAGCATTTATCTTTTGTGGTACAAACAATCCAATTATATTCTTTTAGTTACTTTTAAATGTACAATTAAATTATTATTGAATATAGTCACTCCCTGGTGCTATCAAATACCAGATCTGATTCATTCTTTCTATTAGTTTGTGCCCATTTACCATCTCACTTCCACCTCCCCTGCTACTCTTCCCAGACTCTGGTAACCATCCTGCTACTCTCTATGTTCATGAATTCACTTGTTTTGATTAGATCCCACAAATAAGTGAGAATATGCGATGTTTGTCTGTCTGTGCCTGGCTTATTTCACTTAACATAATGATCTCCAGTTCTATTTATGTTGTTGCAAATGACAGGATCTCCTTATTTTTTATGGCTAAATAGTACTCCATTGTGTATATGTACCACATTTTCTTCCATCTATTCATCTGTGGATGGACACTTGGGTTGCTTCTAAATCTTGACTGTTGTGAATAATGCTGCAATAAACATGGGAGTGCAGATATCTTTTCAATATACTGATTTCTTTGGGTATATACACAGCAGTGGGGTTCCAGGATCATATGATAGCTCTATTTTGAGTTTTTTGAGGATCCTCCAAATAGTTCTCCATAGTGGTTTTGCTAATTTGCATTCCCACCCACAGCATATGAGGATTCTCTTTTCTCCATATCCTTGCCAACATTTATTATTGCCCTCTTTTGGCCAAAAGCCATTTTAACTAGGTGAGATGATGTTTCATTGTAGTTTTGATTTCTATTTCTCTGATGATCAGTGATGCTGAACACCTCTTCATATACCTGTTTGTCATTTGTATGTCTTCTTTTGAGAAACGTCTATTCAGTTTGGCCCATTTTTTAATTGGATTATTAATTTTTATCTGTAGAGTTATTTGAGCTCCTTATATATTCTGGCTATTCATCCATTGTCAGATGGGTAGTTTGAAAATATTTTCTCTCATTCTGTAGGTTGTCTCTTCACTTTGTTGATTATTTCCTTTGCTGTGCAAAAGCTTTTTAACTTGATGTTATTCCATTTGTACATTTTTGCTTTGGTTATCTGTGCCTGTGGGATGTTATTACTCAAAGAAATCTTTGCCCAGTTCAGTGTCCTACAGAGTTTTCCCCAATGCTTTCTTTTAGTAGTTTCATAGGTCTTAGATTTAAGGCTTTAATCCATTTTGATTTGAGTTTTGTTTATGGTGAGAGATAAGGGGACTAGTTTTATTCTTCAGGATGAAGATATAGATAATCCAGGTTTCCCAGAACCATATATTGATATCTTTCTATAGGTTGGGAAGTTCTCTGTTAGGATCTCTTTGAGTAAACTTTCAACCCATTATCTCTCCCTCTATCTCCTCTTTCAGGCCAATAACTCTTTTTTTCTTTTTTGAAACAGAGTCTCGCTCTGTCACCCAGGCTGGAGTGCAGTGGCACAATCTTGGCTCACTGCAACCTCTGCCTTCTGGGTTCAAGCAATTCTAATGCCTCAGCCTCCCAGATAGCTGGAATTACAGGCTCAATTTACCACACTGGCTAATATTTTGTATTTTTAGTAGAGACAGGGTTTGCCCGTGTTGGCCAGGCTGGTCTTGAACTCCTGCCCTCAAGTAATCTGCCCGCCTCGGCCTCCCAAAGTGTTGCGATTATAGGTGTGAGCCACTGCGTTCAGCCTAATAACTCAGACTTACCTTTTTGAGGCTATTTTCTAGATTTTGTAGGCATGCTTTATTTTTTTCTATTCTTTTTACTTTTATCTCTGCTGACTGTGTGTTTTCAAATGGCCTGTCTTCAAGCTTAGTAATTCTTTATTCTGCGTGATCAGTTCTGCTGGTAAGAGTCTGATGCATTCTTCAGTATGTCAGTTGCAGTTTTCAGCTCCAGAATTTCTGCTTGATTCTTTCTGGTTATTTCATTCCCTTTGTTAAATTTATCTGATTTTGAATTCCTTCTCTGTTATCTTGAATTTCTTTGATTTTCCTCAAAACAGCTGTTTTGAATTCTCTGTCTGAAAGGTCACATATTTCTCTCTCTGAAACTGGTTCCTGGCATCTTACTTTGTTTGGTGAAATCATGTTTTTATGGATGGCCGTGATATTTGTGGATGTTTGTTAATGGTTGTTGATCACTGTAATCATAATTCTTGTAGTCAGAATCTGGGATTGTTTGTACCTGTCCTTCTTGGGCGAGCTTTCCAGGTATCCTAAGAGACTTGAGGGTTACGATCTAAGTTTTTGGTCACTGTAATCATATCTGCATTACAGGATACCCCAAGCCTGATAAGGCTTTGTTTTTTGCAGAGTCATAGAGCTACCATCTTGGTGGTCTTATATAAGATCTGGAAGAATTCTCTGGATTAGGAGGCAGAGACTCTTGTTATTTTCCCTCACCTTCTCTCAAATAAATGGAATCTCTGTGTGGACTTGCCTAGAGCTGGGACAGAGGTGACACAAGCACCCCTGTGGCAACCACTACGGGGAGTGCACTGGATCAAACCAGAAGTCAGTGCAGCATCATCACTGGGTCTTGCCCAAGGCCCTCTTTAAATAGTACCTGGCTATTGCCCATGTTTGCTCAAGGCCCTAGGACTCTACAATCAACAGATGATGAAGCCAGCCAGGCTTATGTCCTTCCCTTAAGGGTGGTGCGTTGCCTTGCACCTGCGTGAGTTCAGATACGCTGCCTGGGAGCCAGTGCCTGGAGTTGGAAACCTTAGGACTCTACCTGGTCCTGTGTACCGTGGCTGAGCTGACACTCAAACCACAAGACAAAGTCCTTCACATCTTGTCTCCCCTTTCCCCATGTCCACCACCACTATAAGCTCATGGAAAGTACTGCCAGGGTACTGCTCATGTTCGCTGAAGGCTCAAAGGGTCTTCAGTCAGCTTGTGGTGAAGGCTGCCAGGCCTGGGACTCATTATTCAGGGCAGTGGTCTCTTACCTCTGGCCATGGTGAGTCCAGAGGTGCTGTCCAAGAGCTATGACTTAGACCCCAAGAGCCCACTTAGTGCTCTTCCTCACTGTGGTTGAGCTGGTACCTAAGCTCAAGGCAGTCTCCTTTACTCTTTCCTCTGCTTGCTCAAGCAGAAAGGGCCTCTCCTGTAGCCACCACAGCTGTGAATGTGCTGAGTCACACCCAAAGCCAGCATGTCTCCATCTCTCCCAAGGCCCACAGCACGCACTACCCAGTTGCCACTGCTGGTTATTCAGGGCCTAGGGCTCTTTTGTCAGCACGTGATGAATCCTACCAGGACAGGTCCTTCCTTTCAAGGCGGTGGGTTCTCTTCTGGCCCAGGGTGTGTCTAGAAATGTCATCTAGGAGCTTGGGCCTGGAATGGGGGCCCAAGACTCTGCCTAGTGCCCAGTCTTACTTAGCTGGTATCCAAGTTGTAAGAAAAAGTCCCCTTTACTCTTCCCTCAAGTAGAAGAGGTCTCTTTTGGAGCTGTGAGCTGTGCTTCATGAGGTTGAAGGAAGGGTAACACGAAGGACTCCCTTAGCTGCCCTGCTGGTGTCTCACTTGGTCGTATGCCTCACCAAGACCTCTGGCTCTGATTATAGCACAGCACTAGGACTTACCTAGGAGTTGCAATCTTTGTGGTTTCGACAACCTTTGAAGTTTATTTAGGATCGAAGAGTACTTTAGCCCAAGGTGGCGAGGCTTGCTGCAGTTCTGGTTTCAACCCCTGGGATGGGCAGTTGCCCTCTGGCTAGGGCTAGTCTGAATGCTTCCTCCATGGGTGCTGGCTGAGTTCTGTCCTATGTTGGAGTACTACATTCCAATGCAAAACCCCCAGTTGCTGTGCTTTCCCTCCCGCAAGTGCACAGATGCTCTCTCTTGCCATGTTGCCACTGCTAGGCGATGGGTGAGGAGTGGCATCAGCAATTCAAGACTGCCTTTTTAATATTCTTCCATGCCTCTTTCAGAGATATGAAGGTAAAATTAGGTACCGTGATTGCTCATGTAATTTTTGTTTTTTTATGAAGTTGCTTTTGTATGGAGATGGTGTCAAATTTGGTGTTCCTATGGGGAGGATGATCAGTAGAGGCTTCTATTCAGCGATCTTACTCCTCCTGCATACCTCACTTCATTTTTTTCAAACCCATCATTATGAATCCGAGGTTTATTCATGTTCTTAGTAAAATTTATTTTATTTAATTAATTTATTATTATTATTTTTGAGATGGAGTCTCGCTCTGTCACCCAGGCTGGAGTGCAATGGTGCCATCTCAGCTCACTGCAACCTCTGCCTCCCGGATTCAAGCAATTCTCCTGCCTCAGCCCCCCAGGTAGCTGGGATTACAGACATATGCCACCACGCCTGGCTAATTTTTGTATTTTTGGTAGAGACAGGATTTCACCATGTTGGACAGGCTGGTCTTGAACTCCTGAGCTCATGATCCACCTGCCTTGGACTCCCAAAGTGCTGGGATTTCAGGAGTGAGCCACCACACCTGGCTAGTAAAATTTATTTACTTAGCTATTGATGCACATTTGGATTGCTTCCAGCTTTTGCATTCACAAACAGCGTTGCTTAGGAACATTTTTAAGTGTAATAAATTCCCTTGGGTAATTATCTAGAAGTGTGATCATTCGGATCAAAAAGTTACATACATCTTAAATTTTTAATGCCAAATGATTTTGCCAATTTCCACTCAAACCAGCCACATATAAGTATTCCAGTTGTCCCGTATCCTTGCCAACATTTGATATTGTGAGACATAATTTTTGCCATACTGATGAGTAAGAAGAGGTATTTCCCCAAACAGGCTTTGTGTGAGCAACATGGCTATTTATTCACCGGGGTGCAAGTGGGCTAAGGGCGAAAAGGGCATTAGCAAAGGGCAGTGGGGGATAGGAGTTGGTTTTATAGGTCTGGGGTGGGCAGTGGAAAGTACAGAGTAAGATCAGTTACAGTGGTGGGGGCAGGAGCAAGGAGTATACATTACCATAAGTTAGTTACAATGGCAGGTGGGATAACAGTGTTATCATAATAACAGTTAAGATGGCAGAATGAGGTGAGGGGCTTGTACCAGGGAAGCTGGGCTGGGCTACTGGGGACAATGGCAAACGCAGGTGGTGGGTGGGAGACAATCAACCGAGGTAAGCAGGACTTCGGTTGACTTCAGACGTTCAGGCTCCAGGCTTGCATGTGGAGACCTGACAGTTTTAACTTGGCTTCTGTAACGGCTAATTAGTTTGATCTCTTTTTTTTGAATGTTTATTGGTCATTCGTGTTTTCTCTTCTGTAAAATGCTTATTCAAGCCCTAACTCAGTTTTATTGGTTATCTGATTTTTTCCTACCGATTTGTAGGAATCATGTATTTTAAGACTGGTCGTATGTGTTACAAATATATTCTTGCAGAGGGAGTTTTCTGTTAGACACTCATCCTGGGATCTGCTCCCAGCCTTTATAGTCTGCCCCCCACCTTTCAGTAGGAATCAAAGAAAACTGAAACTCAAGTGCCCTCAAGGCAAAAAACTGGTCCTACCACTTTGCTTATTTCTGTAGATTTCCATTTTGCAGCATGATTCCCCAATTCCTTGCCAATTTATTCATGTGTTTTAAGAGTTGTTTTTAAAAAATAATTTGATACAGAGTTTTTAGTTACATGCAGTGGGTGATTTAGGCTGTGTCTATTTTGGTATGCATAATTTTATAGTGTTTTAAAATATATATGCTGTATATAAAATGTCAAATATCCAGCTTTATTTTAAAATTTTATGACATTAGTTCTTTTCTTGATTGTAATAAACGCTTTGTAAAAGTAATTGTAATTACTCTATAATATTGTAAATGATAAATTGTTTTAATTTCCTAATCACACCTTTGTGAGTTAAGGGTATTCCAATATGTGCTGTTTTAATTAATACCCCAGTGAATAAAGATGTTTTACTGTGCAAAAGATTTAGGATAAATTCCATATGTTTAGGATACATTTCTTAAGGTAAACTGCAGAAGCTGCCTTAATGGGTCAAAGATAGGAATAGTTTTAGGACTAAGTGGTTTTCCACAAGAAATGTACCAATTTATAGCTCATCAGTGTGTTCAAGAATGCAGTTTTCATTTTACTGAAGTGAACTTTTAAAAAAAACCCAAAACTCTCCAGTTTAGAGGACAGCCCTTTCTTCCTTTTAAAGTTGCATTTAAAGCCATATGCAGGTCCCTTTGGGAATGATTAGTCGATAATAACTTCTTAGAAAACATGTTAAAATGCATTGACTAGCAAAAAAGAAAGTTGTCGTATCTTCTCTTAAAAATTAAGTGTGGAGTATTTATTCTGGGAAACTTAGAATTGATTGTGCTAAATAAAATTTAATATCATTTTTCTTTCTAACTGTGACTCACTAGGTATCTTGAGAATTACAAATGCTATAGAAAAATTGAAGAGGATATTTGCACTAACCTCAGCAAAATAGAGACAGTTCTTGGGCAGTCCATGTCCTCATTGCCACTGTCTTACAGAGAAGCTTTAGAGCACTTGGAACAGAGCAAGGTAATAGTATTTGCAATTATCCAGTAAGTCTGTGTGCAAAAAATTGCAGAACAAACTGGCGGAGGCAGCAGAGAATATGGCCGGTTATGACCCATGGAAATCTTCATGCTGAGTTAAGTACCCACAAATATTCCTCAAATTGAAAGCCAGAGGGTAATGTTATATATATGAGAAAGAATCTCCCCCAGGCTGGAGTGCAGTTGTGCAGTCTCAACTCACTGCAGTTTCCACCTCCCGGGTTCAAGTGATTTGATTCTCCTGCCTCAGCCTCCTGACTAGCGGGGACTACAGGTGCCTGCCACCATGCCGGGCTAATTTTTGTGTTTTTAGTAGAGACGGGGTTTCACTATGTTCGCCAGACTGATCTTGAACTCCTGACTTCAAGCGATCCACCAGCCTTGGCCTTTCAAAGTGCTGGGATTACAGGCGTGAGCCACTGCACCTGAACTAATGTAATATATTAAAGCTTAAAAAAAAACCCAGAAGGGACCAGACATGGTGGCTTCTTCCTGTAATCCCAGCACTTTGGGAGGCCGAGGTGAGTGGATCACGAGGCCAGGAGTTCAAGACCAGCCTGGTCAACGTGGTCGAAACCCTGTCTCTACTAAAAATACAAAGTTTAGCTGCGTATGGTGGTGCCTGCCTGTAATCACAGCTACTCGGGAGGCTGAGGCAGGAAAATTGCTTGAACTGGGACCCGGAGGGCGGAGGTTGCAGTGAGCCAAGATTATGCCACTGCACTGTAGCCTGGGCTACAGAGGGAGACTCCATCTCAAAACAAACAAACAAAACCAGAAGGAAGGAAATGAAACAATGGTACTGGGAGATTTAATTAATCAGGTTTACGGGACAGTCATCCCCCCAATAGCATCCTGTCCTCATCGATGGCTTTTCTAAAGCTTCACTTCTCATGTTACTTTGAGGGATGCTGTTGGATCAATGACAGAGCTTTGTTGTCCACTGAGCACTTACTACAACTGTTAAAAGCTCTAAATTCTGGTTACTTTTTAGACTCTGTTACAAAGCAATTTGAGCTTTTGCTTATTTTTATCTGTTAGAATCTATAGTATTATGTTATTTGGGTTTGGATGAGACTCTTAAATCAACTGTAGTTAACATTCACCAAAAACAAAAGCAAACCAAGAAAAACCTTTTAATATTGTGCTGGTGGTTGATATAGGGAGTATTGTGCAAAGGAACTACTTAGTAAAATATGAAACTTAAGTTAAAATAACCAAATGTACAGTAGTTCCCCCCTTAACCACAGGGGATATGTTCCAAGACACCCAGTGGATGCTTGAGACTGTGAATAACACTGAACTCTATGTATATAATTTTTTTCCTATACATGCCTATTATAAAGTTTATAAATTAGGTACAATCAGAGATCAACAATAATAACTAATAGAGTAATTAAAACATTATGCTATAATAAAAGTTCTGTGAATATGGTCCCTTTCTCTCAAAATATCTTATTGTACTGTTTGCGTCTTCCTTCTTGTGATGACATGAGACTGTGCAATGCCTGGGTGATGAAATGAAGTGAGGTGAATGGTACAGCCATGGCCAGGTAGCATTAGGCTACTATTAGTCGGGAACACAAGCATTTGATAGCAGAACAGTTGATCTGATAACCAAGAAGGCTACCAAATGACTCATAGCTGGGGAACTTTTATAGCATGGATATGCTGGGCAAAGGGAAGATTCATATCCCAGGTGGGAGGGAGAGAGATGGCATGAGATTTCATCACACTAGTCAGAATAGCACTTACATATTTATTTACCAATAAAACATACATTTTATACAGATAAATCTTGCACATTATTTCCTTCTGGAATTTTCAAAATTTTTTTAAAAATTATTTATTTATTTATTTATTTATTTTTTAAAGACGGGGTTTCACCATGTTGGTCAGGCTGCTCTTGAACTCCCGACCTCAGGTGATCTGCCCGCCTTGGCCTCCAAAGTGCTTGGATTACAGGCGTGAGCCACCACGCCCGGCTTTCAAATATTTTTGGACCATTGTTGATCACAAATAACCTAAACCTTGAAAGGAGAAACCAAGATAATGAGGACTACTGTACTTCTAGATTTTTTTTTTTTGTTTGTTTGTTTTTCAAATAAGACAGGGTCTTGTTTTGTCACCTACATTGGAGTACAGTGGTGCAATCATGGCTTATCACAGCCTTGAACTCCTGGGCTCAAGGGATCCTCCCACCCCAGCCTGCTAATTAGCTGGGGCTACAGGTATACGCCACCATGCCTGGTTAATTTTTTAATTTTTTGTACAGACTGGGTCTTGCTATAATGCCCAGATTGTCTCAAATTTCTGGCCTCTAGCAATCCTCCTGCCTCATCCTCCCCAAGTGCTGGAATTATAGGCATGAGCCACCATGCCCAGCCTCTTCTAGAATATTTGCTTTTGAAAGTATGTTCTTTCTTGGAAAAAAAAATGGTTTATGGGTCATTATTTGTCCCTGTAGTCCCAAATTCATGCAGAATACAATAATACATAGATAATTCTCATCTGGTCTAAATTGACTTCGAAAGGGCTAAGAAGTGGATCATGCAATACTTATGGAAGATTGAAATAGTTGTTCAAGATTTAAGAAGAGTTTGTAAGTTTCAGGAAAAAAATAATAGTATGTCCCTCCTATCTTTTTCTTTTCTTTCTTAAGGCCTTGGTATCAAATCTTGTATCAACCAAAGAAGAGTTAATGAAACTACGACAGATCCTTAGACTCTTGAGACTCAGGTGCACAGAAAATGATGGCATATGTTTGCTCAAGATCGTGTCGGCTCTGTGGGAGAAATGGCTGAGTTTGCTGGAGGCCGCTAAAGAGTGGGAGATGTGGTGCGAAGAACTGAAGCAGGAGTGGAAATTTGTCAATGAAGAAGTGAGTGCTTCAGTTTCAACAAACCATATAGTTTCTAACATGTTATTTAAATTGTTTTATGACTTTCACTTTGTTTTTATGTAAAAAGAGTCCTCAGATGTACCATTTGTGGACCTCACCTATACGTGATACATGAATGTTTATAGAGGTCAGGCCTTATTAAGATAACCTCCAAGAACTGATTCAGATTTTTTTATAATAGTGCCTATTTTGATAGCAGATAATTCTTATTAATAAGTGACTACTAGCTGGTTTGAGCTTCACAGTCTTTATTGTGAAAATAACTTAACCCCTCTCGGAAATAACTGCCTCTACATTATACTAAAGGTTAGAATTAGGTAATATGCATAATCACCAAATAATTTTGAAATTATCAATAATTTTTTTGTTTGTTTGTAGAAAGGGATTTATTTAAATAGAGAAACAGGAAAAGGAGAGAGAAACAGCTAGCTCTCACACTGAGTGAGAGAAGGAAAAGCTACTCTCACCCTGAGTGAAAAGGGTTCCCAGAGGAAGAAAATCAGAGAAGGAAAACTCCCCTCACACTGGAAGAATCCAGAAAAATGAAATCTAGGAGAGGAAAGACAGCTTCCACACTGGGTGGAAAGGGACAGAGAGAGAGAGAGATGGAGTTTAGGAGGGGAAGACAGGCTTCCATGAGAGGGAATGGAAGGGAACCCCAGAGGGGAAATCCAGAAGGGGAAAGAGAGCTCCCACTATGTGGGAAGTGATTTTTAACTAAGGAAATTAACTGCAGTTGTTAAGTGTGGACCTGAAAATGTGTGAGGTTATGGTGTTCTTTTGGAAAATGGTCTCAAAACCTGCATGATACATATCAATCACAAATGTTCATTTAACCTTGGTTCAGGATTCAGGTATCACCTGTATTTAGAAAGAAAAATAATTTAGAAAATTAAACTGGGTGCAGTGGCTCACGTCTGTAATCCCAGCACTTTGGAAGGCTGAGACAGGAGAATTGCTTGAGCCCAGGAGTTCTAGAACAGCCCAGGCAATGGAGTGAATCCCATCTCTACAAAAAATAAAAAAATTATCTAGACATGGTGGCACATGCCTGTAGTCCCAGGTATTTGGGAGGCTAAGGTGGGTGGATCTCTTGATGGGAGATCAGGACTGCAGTGAGCCATGATTGTGTCATTGTATTCTAGCATTCCAGCCTGGACAAAAGAGCGAGACCCTGTCACACACACACAAAACCATCAAATTATCTTAGGATGAAATGTTAACCTCTATCCACTACACTATCATATTATCTTGCTTAAAACTATTATCGGTAAAATGAATATTATGTCAATGGTCCTTGTGAGGCTTTACTAGTGAATAGCCTCTTGAATGTTAAAATACACTTTGTAAATTACACTTTTGGTTGGTGCTGCTGGCACCAGTGCCTACCTGTTGCTAATAGTCCAATTTATTGAGTTACTATGCTGTGCTGAGAAGGCAGTTCACACCTGTTCTCACTGAATCTTTGCATTGTCCCTGGGAAGTAAATATTATCACCATTTTATAGATGGGAAAACTGAAGCACTGACAGATTAAGTAATGGCACAAGGCCCCCAGGTAGAGATTGATTAACCTGTAAGCCCCTGTGGGCTGGGGCTGGAGCTGGGGCTGTCTTGCTCACGGCTGTAACCTTGGAACTTGGCCAGGGCCCTGCGCTTAGTGGGTACTTAGTAAAAATTTGTTAAGGAACACCTCCTATTCAAATTCAGATCTGGGCTAATTCTAAGATTTTGCTCTTCTTATTTTATCACATTATTGTTCTATACCCATTTGCAATTATGTCTTATTAATTCAGACTCCATTCATATAGAACTTTCTAATTATTCACATAAGCATTTGACAAAATCTGCTAACAAAATGGATTTTCAAAGATTAGCACAAACAAAAAAAAAATGGTTTCATGTAATAACAATAATAAAAACAACTACTAAATTGAGCACTTACTGTGTGGCAGGCATAGTAGGCATAGTTCAGGGCACTAGTCAAGATTCTATGAGGATATTTTTATTATCCTTACTTTGTAGATGAGGAAAGTGAGACTCAATGAGACTGAGTAACTTGCACAAGGGGCAGAAGAGGATTCAAACTTAGACTCTGGTGCCTAACCATTAATCTGTCAACTTACATGATATTTACATACGTCAAATTGATATGACTTTAATGTAGCTTTTATCCATTCAATAAAAATTACATCATCTAACAACCCATACATGTAAGCTTCTGTTAGCATGGTTGGTGCTTTTATATATGACAAAGTAAATTTCTGTTTTAAACATCCCTGTAGTAGCATAATAATTCAGCCTTTGTGAAATAAACAGTTTATATAAGTAGACTTTTTAAAAACTTAAATGCCCAGTTTATAAGTTTACAAACTAAAAACTAAATTTAAATTTTGATTGAATTTATGTCCCCCCGCTAAAATTTTACCTCCCTGTTTTCTTAAACAGAATCTGCTTACTATATTCACTTGGGTTGTTCAAAGTCATCATTTTATGCTTCGATGATCATAATGTGCTAGAAGAAATTCACATTGTCAAAGATAATGAGAGCTATGAGGCTGGCCTCTTCCACTTGCACTAACAGTCATTTCTTTGTTGGTTCCCTTCTCTGCTGGGTTCTGGGTTTTTTGGTCTCCTTCATTGGATTTACATATGGTGCAACTATAGGTCCATCCCCCTTTCTAGACTGGACTTTACAATTGACTGTGACCATAAAAGTTGTTTTTGTTTTTTTGTTGTTGTTTTTTTGGAGACAGAGTCTCACTCTGTCACCCAGGCTGGAGTGCAGTGGCATGATCTTGGCTCACTGCAACCACCCCCTTCCAGGTTCAAGCAATTCTCCTGCCTCAGTCTGTAATGCCCGAGAAGCTGGGATTACAGGCATGCACCACCATGCCCAGCTAATTTTTTGTATTTTTAGTAGAGACGGGATTTCACCATGTTAGCCAGGATGATCTCCTGACCTTGTGATCTGCCTTCCTTGGCCTCCCAAAGTTCTGGGATTACAGGCGTGAGCCACTGTGCCCGGCAATCTAAAAGTTTTATAACCAATTTTATTAGGATCCCATGTCTAAGGAAAATCATCAAGGGATTCCAGAGCCTCTTCTAGGTGGAAATGTGAATGCACAGGTTTTTTGGTAACTATTTTACTGATCCTGAGGCTGTCTTCACACTTTTTTATGTAAGATATGTTGTTCTGACAAGTGCACAGAGTCACATGATCACCAACAAAATCAAGGTTTAAGACAATTCCGTCACCCTAGAAGTTTCCCTTGTTCTTCTTGGTGGCCAGTCCCTTCCATAACCTCCAGCACCTGGCAAACCATTCATCTGTTTCTGTTTCCATAGTATTTCCATTTCAAGAATGTCTTATCAGTGACTTCTCGCCAGTTTGTAGCCTTTTGAGTTTGGCTTTTTTTCACTAAGCATAATGCACTTGAGATTCATTCTTGCTGCTGTTTGTATCATAGTTAATTTCTCTTGATTCCTGTGGGTGTAATACAGTTTGTTTATTCATTCACAAGTTGAAGAATTGCCTAGTTTTGGGGTAAAATTACTGTCCTAATAAAAATTGTTCTCCCTCTTGTATTTCCCCTTCTCAATCACTTAGCAACTTCACAGTGGACAGCAGAGCTTGGGACTGAGGCTTGCAAATGGGTGGTTTATTTGGAAACTGATCCCAGGGAGCAGGAGTGGGAGACTAGGAGGACTAAAACAGGAAAGGTCTGCGCCTTTAGTCGCTTTACTCTTACTGGGTCGTGGTTGCTACCGCTGCCCATTTATGGTTATTATCAGGTTAAATCTGCACAGTTCTGATGTGTAAGCACCAAGAGTTGCCCCCATTAAGTCCTGGATTACAGACATAGTTTTTTCAACCCTGAGGCACATTGGAAACCGTAGATATACAATTCTCCCATTGATGTAGCAATTTCTTTATTTGCATGCTAGTTTCCAGCAGGGGGACACAAAAATGACCCAGTGGAACCCTTATCTCATTCCCTGGTGGAAGTGTAGCTGTCTGACGAAGAACCAGGACTTCTAATCCAACTGAATTTAGGTTTGAGGTGATGAGAAGCACCCATTGCACGCCTGGGTCTCTTGGACAGTGGCCAGTCTACACCTGCATCCATGTATTCTAGTTATTGGGTATTCAACTGAATCATATAGCCCAAATGGCAGGGCAGCTTATACCACGGTCTGACCCTCCTATGGTGCCTTTTCTCTGGGCCCCTCTCGACACTGGCACTATTCTGATAAATGGACCTGAGCGGTAATCCCAAGGATAGCATATACTGCCTCCCAGACCCCAAAAGGTCCATTCAATGCATGTGTTTCTTTCTTAGTGGTAGAGTTACAAGGTTGATCAACTTGACCTTTACCTTAGAGGAGAAGTCCTGGCATGTCCCAGGCCACTGGACCGCTGGAAACTTAATTGAAACTGGGGCTCCTGAATTTTCACAGGCTTTGTTTCTCACCCTCTGGCATGTCTGACTGGACATTCAGGTCTTCCTCACCATTTCAGTTGGCATGATATCATTAACATAGATGACTGGAGTGATATGTTGTAATGTCACGATTGCAGGATCCGTGACTGAACACAGAGCAGGAGAGTTCACCACCACTGAGGCAGAATGTGGTAACTGAGCATGGCCATTGAGGAGTGGGCCAGGGGATTCAGGTGGGAGCATAAGAATGACCTGATTCAGGGGCCTTTGAGACTTTTTTCTATATCTTAGTTGAGTTCAGGACTGATGGAACTCCCAGTTTCTAGATATGTGATGTAATAGGTTATGTATGTCTGAGTTCTGTGTACACTGTTATTGATAAATACTTGATTGGTTCAGTAATTCTGACTGCTTTACCTTTGGTATGTGTCCGGGTAATGAGAATCTGCTGGACTTAACTTTTTGAGTATATAGGGATTGGAAGTGAAAGAAAAGAGACCTGCAGAAAAAATTTTGATATCTAAAAGTTGCCCAACCTCGTCTACCTAGTGAAAGCAGTTTGCTCGAGCTCATATGCTTATCTCAGGAGAAATGTTGCTTTATCCAACTGAAATCTGAAGGAGAAGTAAATTATTTACGAAGATAAGCAACAGCATTTCCTTCATCCCACAAGAGCAATACTCCATTTTAATCACACATCTACATGAGCAATAGCTGGGAATTATGGGATTATGGGATTCTGATAGTAGACGATTAATACCCTAGCTATAGGAAAACAGACTACGATATGGCACTAGGAACCCTTTGAAGAGTGAGCATACAAAAATTATGGCTACTTCAGGTCCTGGCATGGTTATTGTATATTTTACTTATTTTAGTTCTTTCTTTTTGTTTATTGAATTAGATTGAACGAGAAGCAATTATTTTAGATAATCTTCAGGAAGAACTCCCTGAAATTTCCAAAACGAAAGAGGCAGCCACCGCAGAAGAACTCTCTGAGCTGCTAGACTGTTTATGCCAATATGGAGAGAACGTGGAGAAGCAGCAGCTGTTACTGACTCTACTTCTTCAGCGCATCAGAAGTATCCAGAATGTTCCTGAAGGCTCAGGGGCTATGGAAACTGTTCCGGCATTTCAAGAAATTACTTCTATGCAAGAACGATGCAACAAGTAAGATTTATGAAAAATGATTAAGGACATGTGCTTGACAATTATGGCTCAAAATTTAGAAAATATGTATAGAATAATGGTAAATGATACAATAGAATTGAGGTGAGACAACACTGATAGGTATAAAAAGGGATGGAAAAGATTAATAACTAATTAAGCACAATTTTTCCATCCTGGTATTAATGAGAATGAATATCCTTCCAATTTCCTTTTTTTTTTTTTTTGCTCTTTCTCTAGTTTAGTAATACATATTCAATACAGAAAATTTAGAAAATGTGAAAATTACAAAAATTAATATAAAATCTACCTTAATGTCACCACTCAGCAACAACCACTGCCAATCATTTTTTTCTCCTTTTTTTCAACTATGATTTTGTTTTTATTTTTTTTATTATTTTTATTTTTTATTTATTTATTTATTTATTATTATTTTTTTGAGACGGAGTTTCGCTCTTGTTACCCAGGCTGGAGTGCAATGGCGCGATCTCGGCTCACCGCAACCTCCGCCTCCTGGGTTCAGGCAATTCTCCTGCCTCAGCCTCCTGAGTAGCTGGGATTACAGGCACGTACCACCGTGCCCAGCTAATTTTTTTTTTGTATTTTTAGTAGAGACGGGGTTTCACCATGTTGACCAGGATGGTCTTGATCTCTTGACCTCATGATCCACCCGCCTCGGCCTCCCAAAGTGCTGGGATTACAGGCTTGAGCCACCGCGCCTGGCAATTTTGTTTTTAAATAAGTTGAGATCAGAATACTTATACTGTTCTGTATTCTGCTGAGTAATTTATCAGCAAATTCTGTTTGCCTTTTTATGCCCTTAAATGTTCTTTTAAAATGTAACTAGCTGTGGCTGGGCATGGTGTCTCATGCCTGTAATCCCACCATTTTTGGGAGGCCAAGACGGGTGGGTCACCTGAGGTCAGGAGTTTGAGACTAGCCTGGCCAACATGGAGAAACCCCATCTCTACTAAAAATAACAAAAAATCAGCTAGGCTTGGTGGTGCATGCCTGTAATCCCAGCTACTCAGGAGGCTGAGGCAGGAGAATCACTTGAAGCTGGGAGGCAGAGGTTGCAGTGAGCTGAGATCATGCCATTGCACCCCAGCCTGAAAAACTCCATCTCAAATAAAATAAAATAAAAAATGTAACTAGTTATATAATTTCTACCTTATAGATATGCCATAATTTATTACACCAAGCCTCTAATAAGGAATCTTTGAATTCTGGTTTTGTTTTTAATTTTCATAACACTGCTGTGAATATTCTCATGCCAGAATCTATATTTTCATCTGTGACTAATTCATTGAGAAAGATATTGAGAAATAGAAACACTAGGTCAAAGAATATAGTAGTTTTATGGCCAGAGGTCCTCTGAAGAAAAGAACTGTTTTTTTCTCTCTAATCTCACACACCATGTAACAAAGCACTTCTGACACCATGTTGGGTGGCCACAGGGTCGGGGGGATCCCCATACACCAAGCAGTTCTCGAGCAGACACCAATTGATTTCTCACACCGTCCACCCAGAGACAGCATGAGATCACACAGGCTGGAGGCACAATCTATCCCGCAAGAGGCCCTCCACTTCAGATGCCAATCACAAGCAGTAGGTTGCTACCTATATACTATACTTCTCCTTTATTTTATTTATTTATTTATTTTTATTTTGAGACAGAGTCTTTCTGTCACCCAGGTTAAAGTGCAATGGCAAGATCTTGGCTCACTGCAATCCCTGTTTCCTGGGTTCAAGCAATTCTCCTGCCTCAGCCTACTGAGTAGCTGGGATCACGGGCATGCAGCACCATGCCCCACTAATTTTTGTATTTTTGGTAGACGAGGGGTTTCACCATGTTGGCCGGGCTGGTCTCAAACTCCTGACCTCCCACAGTACTGGGATTATAGGCGTGAGCCACCGTGACCAGCTGGTACACTTCTGACTGATAGACTATAAATCAAGGGAAACAACTTTCTTAGGTTCAATGTATTTGCCAGAGTGGCTCACAGAACTCAGGGAAACACTTTACTCATATTTACTGGTTTATTAATTTTATTAATGAAGGATATAATGAGGGCTAGAGATGAACAGCCAGATGGAAGAGAGGTGTCTAAGGCATGGTATAGGAAGGGGCGTGGGGCTTCCCTGCTTTCTGGGTGGTTCAACCTTTGGGAACCTTCAGACTTTCAGCAATCCAAAAGCTCTCTGAACCCTGTCTTTTTGGGTTTTTTATGGAGACTTTATTTTGTAGTCATGATTGATTACGTAACTGGCTGTTGGCAATCAACTCAACCTTCAACTTCTGACTCCTCCCTAGAGATGTGGGGGTGTACGTTGGAGGGTAGGGTGGTACTGAAACTTCCAGCCTTCTAATCACATAGTAGGTTCCCCTGACAACCAGCCCTAACCCTGACGCTACTCAGGATCCTACCTAGAGTTGCCTCCTTAGAACTAAAGATGATCCTATTACTCAGGAAATTACAAAGGTCTTAGGAGCTCTGTGTCAGGAACTGGTCAAAAACCAAGTATTAGAACAAAAGACTCCAAGCTGGCACTCCTATCTACAAGGGTATTAAGAGCTCTGTCTTAGGAACCAGAGCAGAGATCAGGCATATATTTATTATATCACAATATCATAGATACTTACCAAATAACACTCAAGAAAGGTTTTACCCACTTCGGTGCCTCTTCTGATACTTGCTACATCCATAGCAAAATGGATCAGCTCAAGAGTAAAGGCCAGTGGGTTGTCGGTTCCCAAGAGCCCACCCATGACTCCTTTCACACCTCTGAGTCATTTTCATTTGAGCTCAAGGATTACATGGAGAAGAAGAGAGGACAGAGATGTCAGTTACAATGTAATGTGTAAAAGGAGAATATTTGGGGTGAAAGATTTGGAGGTTTTTGATTAAGTGATAGATTTTGATACCTGTTTTTATATGTGGTACATCCATTGTTGAAAGTTGTTACTTTGCTTCTTAGAGGAGGTAACCATCCTTTAGGAGCTATTTAGGCATTTCATTAATTGTTGCAATAAAAGTGTTTTGCAGAAAAGCTGGATAAAGAAACAATTATATTTTGACGTTCTCTTTTAGGCTTCTTCAGAAAGCTCAAAAAAATAAGGAATTGATACAGACTGAAATCCAAGAAAGACATTCCTTTACAAAAGAGATCATTGCTTTGAAGAATTTATTTCAACAGACCACAACTTCTTTCCAAAATATGGCATTCCAGGACCACCCAGAAAAGGCAGAACAACTTGAGGTAAGTGAGGAATTAATTAGTGAATGTGGCAGGCACAGGCCTACAGTCTTGTATCCAAAGTCCTTGGGGTGGAGATAACTCAGTGGCTGGGTTTGGGGGAGTGGTCTGGGGAGAGAAAGAGGCACATGCAAAGCCCCTGTGGCATGACATGGACAGAACCGAGGGAGAAGATCTGTGTGGCTGGAGAGCAGGGAACAGAGTTGAAACAAGGCTGGAAGATAGGCCAGTCTGGACCAAGCAGCCTGCTTTCAACTATGTTTCCAGTGTGTTTGGTGAACAAGGGTGTCAGACCACTCTTGAGTAGCATGATAGGCCACTCTTTTGGTAGCACATGGTGCCCTGTCTCTGATAGGGGCTGTGTACAACTACAGGTCATCTGGAATCTCATTTCATTTTTTTATTACTATATTTTAAGTTCTGGGGTACATGTGCAGATCGTGCAGGATTGTTACATAGGTATACACATGCCATGGTGGTTTGCTGCATCTATCCCCCCATCTTCTACATTAGGTATTTCTCCTAATGTTATCCTTCCCCAGTCCTCCCACTCCCTGCTATCCCTCCCCTAGCCCCCCATCCCCGAATAGGCCCCGGTGTGTGATGTTCTTTTCTCTGTGTCCATGTGTTCTCATTGTTCAACACTCACTTATGAGTGAGAACATGCGGTGTTTGGTTTTCTGTTCTTGTGTCAGTTTGCTGAGAATGATGGTTTCTAGATTCATCCATGTCCCTGCAAAGGACATGAACTCATCCTTTTTACAGCTGCATACTATTCCATGGTATATATGTGCTACATTTTCTTTATCCAGTCTATCATTGATGGGCATTTGGGTTGGTTCCAAGTCTTTGCTGTTGTAAACAGTGCTGCCATGAACACACATGTGCATGTGTCTTTATAGTAGAACGATTTATAATCCTTTGGGTATATACCCAGTAATGGGATTGCTGGGTCAAATGGAATTTCTATTTCTAGATCCTTGAGGAATCACCACACTTTCTTCCCCAATGGTCAAACTAATTTACACTCCCACCAACAGTGTAAAAGCATTCCTATTTCTCCACACCCTCTCTAGCACCTGTTGTCTCCAGCTTTTTAATGATCACCATTCTATTTATTTATTTATTTTTTTATTGAGACAGAGTCTCACTCTGTCGCCAGGTGCCAGGCTAGAGTGCAGTAGCGCAATCTCGGCTCACTGCAACCTCTGCCTCCCGGGTTCAAGCAATTCTCCTGCCTCAGCCTTCCGAGTACCTGGAACTATAGGCTCGTGCCACCACACCCAACTAATTTTTTGTATTTTAGTAGAGACAGGGTTTCACTATGTTGGCCAGGATGGTCTTGATCTCTTGCCCTCGTGATCTGCCCACCTCAGCCTCCCAAAGTGCTGGGAATGATCGCCATTCTAACTGGCATGAGATGGTATCTCAATATGGTTTTGATTTTCATTTCTCTGCTGACCCGTGATGATGAGCTTTTGGAATCTCCTTTCTTCAGAATAATCTCTTCTTTCATCTCAGTCCAATGGTGACAGTCCAAAAGGATGTTTGGAAATTTATTCAAAAGTCACATTTCGGCAGGCTATGGTGGCTCACACCTGTAATCCCAGCACTTTGGGAGGCCAAGGCAGGTGGATCACTTGAGGTCAGAAGTTCAAGATCAGCCTGGCCAACATGGGGAAACCCCATCTCTACTAAAAATACAAAAATTAGCTGGGCATGGTAGCGTGTGCCTGTAATCCCAGGTGCTAGGGTGCAGGACAATCACTTGTACCCAGGAGGTGGAGGTTACAGTGACCTGAAGTGGTGCCACTTTACTCCAGCCTGGCTGACAGAGCAAGACTCCATCTCAAAAAAAAAATAAAGTCACATGCTGTCTAACCAGAACTTTTGGTTATTAATGTTGGAAAGTAAACAAGCAGTCTTCATGGGAAAGCCTGCTAAGTGTACCTCTGAATGAAAGCCTGTACTCCTGGACTGGGTGTAGATAAAACGGGATGACATTTACTTCTTAAACCCTATCTTTGAATGTCATTATTCTCTAACTTTCTCTTTCTAGATTTGTCCTCTGGTGAGGATTAAGAAAAGGAAAACAGTGACACATCACAGAGTCATTTAAAATTGTAATCATTCTTCAGTGCAGTGACTCAATCCATGATCACAAATAATGCTACTGAACAGCTACTGTACAAACAAAACAAATAACAAAAAAGCCACAGTCAAGTCAAGAAGTATTTTTCCACTTGATCTTTGGGAAACTTTCCCAAACAAATGACTTTCTCCTTTATAATTACTGCAGGAGAAGGTAGATCAGATTTGGTTTCTAGGCCACAGCCAATAGACTATTTGTTCAGATTTCTTTTATCTCCTAAAAACCTACATTCTTTGTATGGAACTGGAACCCTCCCTTTTGAAAGAAGTTGAGCTCTGCTGGGCTAATTACATGAAAGTAGACACTTCTGCTCCAAGCGTGGGGCTTTTAGTGGCCTTGAATCATTGTGATGATAATGGAGGAAGAAGTAGAAATAGCAACACGTTAATAACAACAACAAAAAACTTCTTTGAAACTTTTTTTCCTGCTTGCAGCTTTTTAGATCAGGACTGCAACTGAGATACAATTAAATCCTAAAGGTACTTTAGAAGCAGGGGGTGTTGTAATGTCTTTTCTAGATAATGGTGTGACACTATGAAGAGATATCAAGTTTAATTCTTACAAATTAGCATCATCTGACTAAACTGAGTATCTCTCAGGCTTAATCAGCTTGTATCACTAGTGGGGTTTTGTCAGCAAACTGTGCTCCTTTAAATCGTAAGGATATGCTGGAAGGCTGCTTTCACTTTTTAAAGTTAAACTTTTCCCCCAGCCCTATGAGTTATTGAAACTCTCTTAATGTTTTCAGGAGCTTCAAAGCATCCTTAAGAAAGGGAAGCTAACTTTTGAGAATATTATGGAAAAACTGCGAATCAAGTATTCTGAAATGTACACCATAGTCCCTGCAGAGATTGAATCCCAGGTGGAAGAATGCAGAAAAGCTCTAGAAGACATAGATGAGAAGGTAATAATAATGTTTGTACTACTGTTATAATTTATAGAGCTGAATGACTGTCGAGGAAAATATCATTTAATGTCAAATTCTGTTTGCCAGAATTTCAGCTATGACTGCTTTTAAGATACTAAGATAAAGATGCTTTAAATATGTGACATAACAGCAGCATTAGATAATTTATATATATTTAATTATCAAAATGCTTATTCTTCTCTTGCATCTTATAATACAGTTACATAATATCTTTTACTGGCTTGGTTTGGTTTGCTTTTGTACAACCCCTGTACAACCACTTGAACATTTTGGATGTTAACACTTTGCTTTAAAATATATTCTTTGAAACATTTTGACATTACAACTGAGGACAATAAGAATACAAATTTCACAACTCACTAGGAATAGTACTTAGCATGTAGTATCTGTCTAATGACGATGTTAACAGAATTCTCATAAAAAGTACCTGGGCAAATCTTTACACCTGAAAGTCTAGATTTGAAGAAAGTTTGGAAAATATTTTATAATACTAGAAACATAGGAGCTTAGCAAGATACTTTGATTGGATTGTAAAAAGACAACCCATATCAAACAGAAGAATATTCTGTTTGGTTTGGTATCCACAGAAGGATTTTTTTTTTTTTTTTGAAGCCTAGAATACTTATAACTTGATAAATAAAATAGATCTTAAACACAAAAAATTCAGATTTCAAACTTAGTTGCTAGAATATGTCATTAATTCTATGACATTTCTCAGGAAAATCTCACATATAAAAAAACATGTAAACCCTTAATGTGTATTTGTAACAAATCTTTTTTATTTAACACGCAAGAAAACCAGTTTGGTACTTTCTCAAGGATCACGTACTATTGATTTTATTTGAGGAAAATACTGAATGTTTCGAGAGAAATTAAATGCTTTTCTCATGAATACTTACGAAAGTCCCTAGCAGAGTAAATTAATAATCAAAACCAGTTGTTCAAATTCAAGGTTGAAAATTTCCGCTGTGAACCTGTATATTTGTAACTAACAGCAACTAATTTTTGTTGTGTGATGCATCTAAAGGAAGTTCAAGGGTCCAGTAGTTAGACACGGTACCACTGCTTGTAATTCAAATGGCTGCTTATGTGTCCTAAATTATGATCTGTCCTAATGTATCTAAATGGTGTACATTTCTACCAGGAGAATAGTGCTCAAAATATCAGAAAACTTTGTCTTGTGGTAATTTGTGACACAGCCAGCAATAAAAAACTAATGTGGGACCAAAGTAGGATTCTTTTTTCTAATAGTATTGACTGCAGTATGGTCTGGGAAATAAAGACATGATATAAAACTGTCAACAGCCCGATGTTGTGAATAGAGCCTGGGACTCAATGTGGGGACTTGGGGGCTTCTTGGGACAAGTTCAACTACTTCCTTGGCAAATGACTATAGCAAGTCATTTAGCCTGTATTTCAGTTTCTGCATCTGTATACTGTCTGCGTAGGATGGTTTTGGTCTCAATGGTTATACAGATTGAGAGAGAGAGAGAAAGAGAGAGAGAGAGAGAGAGAGGGAGAGAGAGAGTTTAATTTAGAAACAAAGAATTATACAAAAGCATAAAGTATTACTTGGTTATTTGGTAGCTACTTGGAGAAAGCCTTATCAAATAGCAAAACAAGAACACAAATACCATTCATTGTATCACGTTTAGAAAGTGATACATTCAACATTCATTTATTATCTTTCCTAGTACAAGTTTTTGTTTGTTTGTTTGTTTTTAAGAGAATCATTTAGATAAAAAACATTACACTGTTCATTAGCTAAGTTTCTGATGGCTGGGAAAACATCTACTACAAGTGGTTACACAGAGAATAATTAAGCTCTATGCATCCTCAAGAAATAGCTGCTTTTAGAAGGTTGTTTCATGCAAATGAATACTTTGATGGCAATTACATTTAAAAGTCAGCTTGAGTAAGTTTGGTTTTACTGAAAACAGATCTCTGCAGAGGATTTTCTTACAAAATAGAAAGATCGTGTAAGAATTGTTTATCCCCCAGGAATTCTTTTTTTTTTTTCTTCCGGAGACAGAATCTTGCACTGTTGCCCAGGCTGGAGTGCAGTGGTGCTACCTTGGCTCACTGCAACTGCTGCCTCCCAGGTTCAACCACTTCTCCTGCCCATTGCCGCACCCAGCGAATTTTTGTATTTTTAGTAGAAACTGGGTTTCACCATGTTGGCCAGGCTGGTCTCAATTTGCTGACCTTGTGATCCACCCACCTCTGCCTCCAAAAGTACTGGGATTATAGGTGTGAGCCACTGCGCCCGCTCTCCCCACCAGGAATTCTTTTATATCATTTGATCCATATGGGCATGTTTCAAACAGTCCACTCAGTAGTTTTGCCCAACTCAGCATATATCTGTAATACATGTTATATTACATTAAACAGATTTTTATTTAAGATTGAAGAGGTCAAGTAAACACACCTGCCATTTATTAGTCTGCCTACTCACCTTCTCATTAACATTTGCCAGAATTTCTTCCCCCAGCCCTTAAAAAGTTTTTACAAGTTAAAACAGAGTGACTACCACTTTTGTTGTTCAAACCTGTGAATAAAGTACAGACAACCTCTCTAAGCCAACTGTGTCTTTCTCTCTTTAACAGATTAGCAATGAAGTCTTAAAAAGCTCACCATCATATGCAATGAGAAGAAAAATAGAAGAAATTAACAATGGGCTACATAATGTTGAAAAGATGTTGCAGCAGAAAAGCAAAAATATTGAGAAAGCACAAGAAATTCAAAAGGTAAAATTCTTCTGTAACTCCCTTGAGCATTTGGTATTTCTGACCCACTCCTCCCTTGTTCATTAGTCATCACAAGGTGAGTTTTTTGAATTACTCTGAAGCACAGAAACCCTAAATCAAATCTACAGGGGCATCACCTAAAGAGGCTTGATAGGGAAAGTTGCATTTAAAAATTATTCTGTTGGCCAGGTGCAGTGGCTCACGCCTGTAATCCCAGCACTTTGGGAGGCCAGGGCAGGGCAATCACTTGAGCCTAGGAGTTCAAGACCAGCCTGGCCAACATGGCAAAACCCCATCTCTACTAAAAATACAAAAATGAGCTGGGCATGGCAACAGATGCCTGTATTTCTAGCTACTCGGAAAGTTGAGACATGAAAATCCCTTGAACCCAGGAGATGGAGGTTGCAGTGAGCGGATCACGCCACTGCACTCTAGCATGAGTGACAGCCTGAGACTCCGTCTCATTTAAAAAAAAAAAACAACAAAAAAAAACTCTGTTTTTCCATGGTGGGCATATGCCCAAACTTCTGAGAGCCTGTGATTATGAACTAGCATTTTCACAAGTAAAGGAAAGTAAGGATTTTATCTTGGGGATGTTGATATTGAAAATCATTCAGTAGAATATGAAAAATATTAATTCTCTTTTTAAGACTGCCAAGGTTTAACAAAATAAATAAGAATTCCAAACTTATTTCCCTTGTAAAATGTCTTATAAAATAAAATCTTAGATAAAACTGTACATAAACATACTATTCTACTTTTTTTGAGGTGGAGTCTCACTTTGTCCCAGGGTGGAGTGCAGTGGCGTGATCTTGGCTCACTATAACCTCTGCCTCCTGAGTTCATGAGATTCTCCTGCCTCAGTCTCTCAGGTAGCTGGGATTACAGGTGTCTACCACCACACCTGGCTAATTTTTCTGTATTTTTAGTAGAGACAGGGTTTCACTATGTTGGCCAGACTGGTCCCCACTCCTGACCTCCTGATCCCCCCGCCTTGGCCTCCCAAAGTGCTGGGATTACAGGCGTGAACCACCGCACCCAGCCACTATTCTACTTCTTAATTCGCAAGTAAACTCCAGCATAGGGAAAGGATTATCATTCTAATCTATTTTTTTTTTTTCTAATCTATGTTTTAAGGAAATATTTTTAATAATTTGGGGCTTTTGGCCTGGCGCAGTGGCTCATGCCTGTAATCCCAGCACTTTGGGAGGTTGAGGTGGGCAGATCACAAGGTCAGGAGTTCGAGACCAGCCTGGCCAACATGGTGAAACCCTGTCTGTACTAAAGATACAAAAAAAATTAGCCAGGCCTGGTGGCGGGCATCTGCAATCCCAGCTACTCAGGGGGCTGAGGCAGGAGAATCACCTGAACCCGGGAGGTGGAGGTTGCAGTGACCCGAGATTGCGCCACTGCACTCCAGCCTGGGCAACATCACGAGGCTCTACCTCAAAATAATAATAATAATAATAATAATTTGGGGCTTTTAAAATTGGTTAGAATAGGGCCGGGCGCGGTGGCTCAAGCCTGTAATCCCAGCACTTTGGGAGGCCGAGGCGGGTGGATCACGAGGTCAAGAGATCGAGACCATCCTGGTCAACACGGTGAAACCCCGTCTCTACTAAAAATACAAAAAATTAGCTGGGCATGGTGGCGCGTGCCTGTAATCCCAGCTACTCAGGAGGCTGAGGCAGGAGAATTGCCTGAACCCAGGAGGCGGAGGTTGCGGTGAGCCGAGATCGCGCCATTGCGCTCTAGCCTCGGTAACAAGAGTGAAACTCCGTCCCAAAAAAAAAAAATTGGTTAGAATATGGCTCGCTATTAGACAAATCTTAAGCAGAGGAGCCTAATGTAACAAGTTACATTTTCCTAGTTCTCAACATAGGAGAAAAAACGTTCTTAAGCAGACATTAAGAACTGAGTATTTTACCTTTGAAATTTTCCTCTGCCCAGCAAAGTTCAGATTTGAATCCAACCTATTGGTTTCTTGAGTCAAAAGCAGTTGCTCCTAATACATGTTCCTAGAGCTTTTCGCCTCTGCATTCATCCCAAGTCAGCAGATAATTTGCTTTTTTTTTAATTTTTGAGATAGTGTCTCATTCTGTCACCCACGCTGGAGTACAGTGGTGTGATCAAAATTCACTTCAGCCTTGACCCCCCTGGCTCAATCGATTCTCCCACCTCCGTCTCCCAAGTAGCTGAGACTGCAGGTGTGTGCTGCCACACCCAGCTAATTTTTGTATTTTTTGTAGAGATGGGATCTCCCTGTGTTGCCTGGGCTGGTCTCAAACTCCTAGGCTCAGGCAGTCCACATGCCTTGGCCTCCAAAATTGTGTGAGCCACTGTACCCGGCCCAGATGTTTTTCTTTATTTTTTCACTTAAAATTATTTTCTAGATTAGGTGCATGTGTGTGTGCGTGTGTGTGTGTGTGTGTGTGTGTGTGTGTGTGTGTGTGTGTGTTTATGTATGAACTAGTGTAAATAGGTTCAGGTATTTTCAGGTACTTCCCCAAGCCGTTTTTTTTGTTGTCTGTTTTGTTTTTTCTTGTTTTTTTTTTGTTTTTTGAGACGGAGTCTTGTTCTGTCACCCAGGTTGGAGTGCAGTGGTGTGATCTCAGCTCACTGCAACCTCAAATGATTCTTCTGCCTCAACCTCCTGAGTAGCTGGGATTGCAGGCGTGAGCCACCATGCCTGGCTAATTTTTATATTTTTAGTAGAGATGGGGTTTCACCATATTAGGTCAGGCTGATCTCAAACTCCTGACCTTGTGATCCACCCGCCGTAGCCTCCCAAAGTGCTGGGATCATAGGCGTGAGCCACCGCACTAGGTCTCCCCAGGCCCATTTAAAACAGAATGTTTTGTTCATCACCCTTGAGAGAGGAGGGCTACATTGACCTTGTTTGTGTCAGTAATCTCTAGAAATGTCCAGGTCTGGCAGGTACAGGCTGAGAGCGCGGGGCTCGGTACCGGCACTGCCTTCTCAGATTCGCCACGACATGGCAACTCTTGTAATAAGGGAAATGGTGAACCCTCTACTGTATCTCAGTCGTCACACACTGAAGCCTCCAGCCCTATCCACGTTTCTGTTGGGATCCCTTCGAGGTGTGGCCCCCATGGCTGTGGAACCGGGGGCAGAAGTGCAGTCATTTCTCTCACCCGGCCTCCCGCCTCACCTGCTGCCTGCGCTGGGGTTCAAAACCAAGGGTGTCCTTAAGAAGCGCGGCAAGGACTGTTACCGGGTGAAGAGGTGGGGCCGGTGGTACATCTATTGTCAAACCCACCGAGGCACAAGCAGGGACAGATGTAGTCCCTTTCCCTCCAGAGCCACGCACATTCACGCCATCGGGAGTGGCTGTATCTTAGGGAATTATCACATCAAGGAGTCAGGAGAGTAACTGGAGGCAAATGCCCTAAAGGTTACCTGTCACTTTTCAGTTCAAATGAGGACCTATAGAAGACATTGCATCATCTCATTTCTAAAATGCTCCAATTAAAAACATTTTCCTATTTAAAAAAAAAAAAAAAAGAAATGTCCAGGTCTTTCTGTTTCCCTACAGCTAATTTGTAGTGAAACGAATAAAGTTACAGTTAGGAGAGCTCAGAAAAAGTGTTTTTTGGTTTAGATCACACATGGTTGCTGGGTATAAATTAACAGCTATTTTTGTGATATTTCTGTGCTGTTTTAGTAGCGTTTATAAATGTAAATTCTGGGTGAAAACCAGGCATTGCCTCCATAAACTGTGACCTCTGCATTCAAACTGACTTATGATTTCCTTCTTCAGAAAATGTGGGACGAGCTAGATCTCTGGCATTCCAAGTTAAATGAGCTGGATTCTGAAGTTCAGGACATTGTTGAACAGGACCCTGGACAGGCTCAAGAATGGATGGATAACTTGATGATTCCTTTTCAGCAGTATCAGCAAGTATCACAGAGAGCAGAGTCTAGAACCTCACAGTTGAATAAGGTATGGCTGTGTCTCATGGTAGCTTCATAGCATGTGGTGGTATTAAGATGCTGTTAAAACAAAACAAAATAATATATTGAGAGACAGCCTGTTTCTCTTGAATTGCCAGTTACAGGACTTGAAGCTGGGGGCGCGGTAGGCTCATGTGGGCACTGAGGAGACAGATTTCAATGCTAGTGTAGGCAGGAAGTCTGATTAGGCAGACAGAACCAAGTTGACCACAGCAAGAGCCAGGCAAACTGTTGGGAAGTCCAGGCTTCCCAATAGGTAGGTAAAGACCAGCAATGGGAATTTAGGGCAGGTGATCTCAGGAGTCTAGGGATGGAGACAGCAATGAGAAAGACTGTCTTTCGGGGACAAGATACCCTTTCTACTTTTGTTCCAAATAGGAGCTGTGGTTGGCCGAGTTGTGTTCATGATTTATTAAGAGTGAGGCAGCATTCTGGTCTTAGAACTGTAGGGGAAGGTCCCGAACAGGAGGACAAAGTACAAGCCCAGTTTTAAACACGAAGCATAAAATGGGAACCAGAGTAGTTGCAAGGCTAACCGAGAACTCTTGCTGAGACCTATAACGTTGGAGTAGAACCACTTAAACCTTTCCACCAGTGGTCAGAGTTAGCCTTAAAAGTCGGAAGTATCTGCCAGGCTCAGTGGCTCCCACTTGTAATCCCGCACTTTCGGAGTCCAAGGCAGGCTGATCATGAGGTCAGGAGATTGAGATCATCCTGTCCAACATAGTGAAACCCTGTCTGTACTAAAATACAAAAAAAAAAAAAAAAAAAAAACAATTAGCCGGGTGTGGTGGCAAGCACCTGTGGTCTCAGCTACTTGGGAGGCTGAGATAGGGAAATTACTTGAACCTGGGAGGCCGGAGGTTGCAGTGAGCCAAGATTGTGCCACTGCACTTCAGCCTGGGTGACAGAGCAAGACTCTGTCTCAAAAAAGAAAAAAAGGTCAGAGGGTATCATAACCTAAAGCAGGTGAGCAAGTGGCCCCAGCCATGGGGAGCAGACATCTGCAAGGTCTGACACACCCCTGACTAGCAGCAACTGACTCTTCATCGAGAGCCACTCAGCTCCAGTAAAAGGCATCCAACTAAGTTTGGCCCTGTGTCTCTTTCCCAGGCCACAGTTAAGATGGAGGAATATAGTGACCTTCTGAAGAACACTGAGGCTTGGATAGAAAATACCAGTCGTTTGCTGGCCAATCCTGCTGACTACGACTCTTCAAAGACACTGAGTCACCATGCTAGCACTCTGCAGGTAAGTGTTCTCAGGTTTTCTGCCGCTCATAGCAGCTACAGAAGGATTTGCGGCTTAGCTGATCGTCCCATTGCCTTTTTCCTCCTTTCCCGAAATACGGCCTTACCCCTATCCATGCCAGTGGCGGAAGGAAGCTTGAGAGAGCGGCAAGCACTAGACAGGGATTTTGGAGAGCAGGATCTAGCTCTTACTGTCCTGATAACTGCTTTATGACTTTTTGGATGATTTAGTATATCTTCTGTGGACCTCAGTTTCCCCCCACAAAATAAGAATGTGCCCAGGATAGTGCTAATGGTTTTTGGTTGGTAGAATTCTAAGATGCGTCCCCAGTATTCCCGTCCTCTCATGTATATCACTTGAAAGAATAAGTCCCTTCTCTTGAATGTGGGCAGGAATGTGCATATGATGCGATAGTCACTTCATTGATTAGGTTACATTGTATGACTAAGGTAATGGAGTAGTCACTCCCATAAATACTTGATTAACATGATAATAAGACTCTCTAATATGGGTTTTTGGATTTTCAGATTTAGAAGGCTCCACTAGTAAGTATAATACTCATATTCCAAAATTTGAAAAAGTTTAAAATCCGAAACGCTTCTGGTCTCAAGCATTTCAGATAAGGGCTACGCAACCCGTAGCAGAGTATAGTGAGATTCTCCTTGAAAAAGTAAGCAGCTATATTGTGAGAGGGCCATGGGGCTAGGACCCAAAGGCTGTTTCTAGAAGCTGAGAGTCAGCAAGGAAACAGGGACCCCAGTCCTACGGCTGAATTCTGCCAACAACCCGAATGATCTTGAAAGAGAACCCTGAGCTCCAGATGGCACCAGGACTGCAGCCTGTGGCTCCCCGTGCAAAGGACTCACCTCAGCTATGCCTGGACTCCTTACCCCTGGACAATATGGGATAACTTTGTTTTGCTTTACGCCGTGAAGCTTGTGGGAATTAGTTATACAGCGATAGAAAAGGAATCCGTGGTTCCTTCCACTTCCGACACACCATGATTGCAAATTTCCTGTCCTTCCTGGTACTCCACACATGCCCTGTGTCTCCATGCTGGCTTACAAAGACAAAACAAATCGAAGTGTTTTCCTACTTGAGGCCTTGGCTGCAAAACATCTTCCCGATGCTGAGTATTGAGGGAAGTTTCATTGTGCTGGTGTGTTTCCCTTCTCTTATTCTGCCATGAGAAGGAATCCCTTAGAGAAATTTGGTGACCGTTTTTACAGAATCAGACTTGCAAGGTGATTCAGCTCCTTCTTCTATCTTTAGAATGGCACAATGTGTTCCTAAGTGAGCTGCTGACCTCAGACTTCCATGACGTTTGAGAATTGTTGGCATATTTTTTTCGTTCGGTAACACTTGTAAAGATGCTGCATTTCTAACCATTTTTTTTCTTTTCTTCTCCTTGATTGCGTTTTCTTTTGCCTTTCCCCACGTGGATTAACTTTCCATATCCTCAAAGGTTGTCATTTTTAAACTTTTTATCGCCTCTCTAATTCACTATTGTTGAGGACTTTACCAAGACAAAAGAGAGGAATGATGCTTTTTTTCTTCCCCCTTCACATCTTTATGAGTTAAAAAAACAAACTGTACAAAAGTGAGCTCAGGTAAAAGCAGCTGGGATTTTGCTACCTTCTACTGATACAAATGCAAAAATATAAAAGTATCTCTCAAACTCTTTAGGACTTTCTAAATTGCTAGACTCTCTTTATGAGCTAGAACTGAGTAAAGGAAGTGGGGACAAGGGAAGGTACGAGTTTATTTCTATGTGTCCTGCTGTGTCCTAATCTCCCCCTGGGAAGTTAAGTCCTAAATAGTCCTATGTGAAATCCTGGTTTGTCCAATAATTCTACTTTTATGATACCCTTTTCCATTTTCTAGCATATTCTGGTGTTACTTTTTAAATTGACTTTTAAAGAAGTGTCAGAACTCTAAACCAAGCTTTAAATGTTTCTTTTAATTGCACTATACCCTTCTACCTGGATTGCATTTGTTAAAACAGGTCTTTGTAACCTAAAGATAATTTCACAAATACTACTGTTGTAAGAATCACTGGAACATAAATTGTCGTCATTATAAAAATAGAATACTAACCTTTTTTGTTTTTTTGAGACGGAGTTTCACCTTTTTGCCCAGGCTGGAGCGAAATGGCACGATCTAGGCTCACTGCAGCGTCTGCCTCCTGGGTTCAAGTGATTCTCCTGCCTCAGCCTTCCCAGTAGCTGGGATGACAGACTCATGCCACCATGCCCGCCTTATTTTGTATTTTTAGTAGAGGCAACGTTTCACCATGTTGGTCAGGCTGGTCTCGAACTTCTGACCTCAGGTGATCCGCCCACTTTGGCCTCCCAAAGTGTCAGGCTTACAGGTGTGAGCCACTGCACCCTTTTACCCACCTCCAACCCTAAGTAATCACTCACTGTTTTCTTTTACTATAGTTTTGCCTTTTCTAGAACATCGTATAGAGGAAATCAAACAGTGTGTAGTCTTTTGTGTCTCACTTTTTTCACTTAGCATAATGCTTTTGAGATTCACCCAGGTTATTACACTTATCAATGCATAGTTAATTCTTTGATTGCCAAGTAGTATTCCATTTTTGGAAATAAGTAGTTTGTTTATCTACCAGTTAATAAGTATTTAGGTTGCTTCCAGTTTTGAGCTATGTATTAGCCATTGCTGTGTAACAAATTATTCCAAAAGTTAGCAGCTTGAAACAGCAAACTTCTATTACCACAGTTTCTGTGAGTCAGGAATCCACAGGCATGGCTTAGCTAAGTATCTCTGGCTCAGGCTCTCTCATGAGAATGCAATCAAGGTGTCGGCAAAGGCTGCAGGTTCATCCAAAGGCTGAACTTAGGTGTGGGGGATCCGCTTCCAAGCTCATTCCCATGACTGTTGATAGGCCTCAGAAGATCTGCTTCTACTCACAGACACGTGGGCTCCTCCAAGAGTCTGCCTCACACCATGGCAGCTGGCTTCCCTCAGCATAAACTGTCTACAAGAGAGTAAGAGAGAGGTCTCAAGACAGAAGCCACATTTTTTTGTTCTTTTAGAGACAGGGTCTTGCTCTGTCACCCAGGCTGGAGTGCAGTGGCACAATGTCGGCTCAATGCGGCCTCCGCTTGCTGAGTTTAAATGATCCTCCCACCTTAGCCTCCCAGGTAACTGGGACTACAGGTGCATGCGACCATACCTGGCTAATTCTTAAATTTTTGTAGATAAGGTCTCTCTTTGTTGCCCAGTCTGGGCCACAGTTTTTGTAATCTAATCTTAGAAGTGACATCTCATCACTTCTGCCACATTTTATTAGAATTAAATCAGTGGCCGGGCGCGGTGGCTCACGCCTGTAATCCCAGCACTGTGGGAGGCCGAGGCGGGTGGATCACGAGGTCAAGAGATCGAGACCATCCTGGTCAACATGGTGAAACCCCGTCTGTACTAAAAATACAAAAAATTAGCTGGGCATGGTGGTGCATGCCTGTAATCCCAGCTACTCAGGAGGCTGAGGCAGGAGAATTGCCTGAACCCAGGAGGCGGAGGTTGCGGTGAGCTGAGATCGCGCCATTGCACTCCAGCCTGGGTAACAAGAAAAAACCTCCGTCTCACACATAAAAAAAACATGAACAAAAAAGAAAAAGAAAAAGAAAAAAAGAATTAAATCAGTGATTCCCGCCAGCATTCAAGGAAGCTGATATAAGCATATGAATACCAGGCGGGGATCATTCCAGGCTACCTCAGAGGCTGCTACCATAGGCCATTATGAGCAAAGCTGCTGTGAATGTTTATATACAAATCTTTGTGTAGACATGTGTTTTCATTTTATTTCAATGAATAAATACCTCTGACTTTTATGATGTTTTAATAAATAATAAACTGAGAAACACTTTTTCAAAATGGTTGTGTCATTTTTCATTCCTACCAGCAACATGAGTTCTAATTGCTCCATATTTTCAACAGCACTTAATATTGTCTGTCTTTTCAATTTTAGCCATTGTAGTGACTTACAGTGGTATGTCATTGTGGTTTAAATGGTACTTCTCTAATAAGTAATAATTTTGAGCATTTATTTATGTCTTTATTTCTTATTTGAGGCAGAGTCTCGCTCTGTTGCCCAGGCTGCTGGAGTGCAGTAGCACAATCTCAGCTCACTGCAACCCCCACCTCCCGAGTTCAAGTGATTCTTCTGCCTCAGCCTCTGGAGTAGCTGAGATTACAGGCACACACCACCACATCCAGCTAATTTTTATATTTTTAGTAGAGATAGGGTTTCACCGTGTTGGCCAGGCTGGTCTTGGAACTCCTGACCTTGTGATCTGCCCGTCACAGCCTCCCAAAGTGCTGGGATTACAGGCAGGAGCCACCGCGCCTGGCCTTTAATATTTATGTCTTTATTGGTCATTTGTATACTTCCTTTGTGAAGTATTTGTTCAGTTTTTTTTTGCCCATTTAAAAAATTCCGTTGTTTGTCTTCTCTTTGAGTTGTAAGTTATGTGTAAAATATTCTGAAAACAATTCTTCTGTCATATATGTCATTTACAAATATTTTCTTCCAGCCTGTGGCTTGTTTTGACATTCTTTTAACACTGCCTTTCAGCAAGCAAATGTTATCAATTTGATGAGGTCCACTTTATCACTATTTTCTTTTATGAATTATTCTTTTGTTCTACATTCTAAGAAATCTTTACCTAACGCAGGGTTACAAAGATTTCCTCCCATGTTTTCTTCCAAAAGCTTGATAGTTTTAACTCTTACTCCTAGGTCTGGTGATTCATTTCACGTTAATTGTTGCCTAAGGTATGATTTTGGGGATCAAAGTTCTTTTTTTCCATAAGGATATCCAATTGTTTCTGCATCATTTTTTGATCAGAATCACCATTAAATTACTCTGACCTTATTGGAAATCAATTGACCTCATACATGTGCTTCTATTTCTGGGCTCTCACTTCTGTTCAATTGATTTATGTCTATATTTTCACGAATATAACAGTCTTCATTACCATAGCTTTACAGTAAGTCCTGAAATCGGGTAGCATCAATTCTACAACTTTGTTCTTCTTTTTCAGATTTGTTTTGGCTAAATCAAGGCCTTTGCATTTCCATATAAATCTTAGAATCAGCTTGTCAATTTCTAAATAAAGTTCTGTTTGAATTTTCAGTGGGATTGCATTAAATTTGTGTATCAGTTTGGAAGAGAATTAACGCGTCAACCATGTTGACTATTCGGTCCAGGAACATGATATATCTCTTTATTTCTCTTGGTGTTTAATTTCTCTCAGGAATGTTTTGTAATTTTCAGTATATGGTTCTTGCATGTATGTTGTTAAATTTATTCCTAACTAGTTTGTGGTTTTTGATGTTGTTGTCAGTGATATTGGTAGAAAGCAATGGTTTTAAGTTTGTTTTCCTAAAAGTTTTCTCCTATAAGGATTTTGAATAAGATTAATATAAAATCCTGAATAACCCACTTAGCTTTAGTGACTTATGACTAAAATTTTCATTGCATAAGTGAATGTTCTTTCTCCTGTCAGTTATTTTTTATGGAATTACCTGAAGAGTACATTAGCAAGCTGAGCATTTTCATTAGGTGGCTGAGCTATTTTGACATCTTAAATTTGAAAATTATTACATGTATAAAAGGGGCTTATTATGAATAACAAAAGATACTTCTCTAACCCCTATTGTTAAAGGATTCCAAGGGTTTTAGAAGTGGACGAAGACAATATATATATATTTCTTATTATAGTAGAGTATACAGGTGGATACTCTAAAGTCTTTCATTACCATTGACATTAGAGAGTATTTGGTTTTCATTATCAAACTAGAAATGACTAGAAGTTTAAAATGTTGAGAAAGCTTTAAATTTTCTCTGATTTAAATTTTAATCAACTTATATCAGGATCTTGATGTCTCTCTCTTTCTCTCATTTTGTGTTTACATAGATGGCTTTGGAAGATGCAGAACAGAAGCACAATCTTTTACATTCAATCTTAATGGATCTAGAAGACCTATCAATAATTGTTGAAACAGATGAATTAACACAATCCATACAAGAGTTAAGTAATCAAGTAACAGCTTTACAAGAAAAAATAATGGAAAACCTTCCACAGATTCAGCAAATGGCTGATGTAAGTTGGCACCATAAAGATGCGATTTATTATTCTTAATTTCTGTTTCATTCAGAATTAAATTAGAGGCTGGGCACGGTGGCTCATGCCATCATCCCAGCACTTTGGAAGGCCAAGGCAGGCTGATCACTTGAGGTCAGGAGTTCAAGACCAGCATGGTCAACATGGTAAAACCCTGTCTCTACTAAAAGTATAAAAATTAGCTGGGCTTTGTGGTACACGCATGTAAACCCAGCTACTTGGAAGGCTGAGATAGGAGAATCACTTGAACCTGTGAGGCAGAGGTCTCAGTGAGCCAAGATTGCGCCACTTGCACTCCAGCCTGGGTGACAGAGCAAGATACTGTCTCCAAAGAAAAAAAAAAAAGAAGAAATAAATTAGATTTATACTGCTCACCCAGTACTATACAACTAATCATTGTGAAGACACATTGATCTGGTGAAATTTCGTTTGTTATTTGTTGAATTATATTTTACTTTACTTTGCAACCTGTAATGTAACTGTAACAAAAAACATCTCCCCATTTTCAATCTGGAAGTGGTCTGTTTAAAGAGTAGAGAATCTTGATAAAAATAAACTGTGTGTTTTCTCTTTGTCAAAGACAGATATGATTGATTTTTAAATGCTGGTTAGGAAAGAGGAAATTGAAAGAGAATCCTGGCCAGGCACAGTGGCTCATGCCTGTAATCCCAGCGCTTAGGGAGGCAGAGGCAGAAGGATAGCTTGAGCAAGGGAGTTTGAGGCCTGTCTGGGCACTATGGTAAGACCCCATTCTCCACAAAAAGGAATTAAAAACAAGTTTAAAAGAGGTAGTCCCAAGTCTTTATTTACTAGTAGCAAATATTTATTGAAGGGCTGTTGCATGCCAGCCTCTGGATTTTTATTTTTGCTTGAAATATCTGATGCATTTGTTTAAGGATAGAGTCACATAGTAGAGGCAGTTATAGTTAGTTCTTCATTATTTACCTTTGTTTCTCAGTTACATTCCCTATACCACACTCATGTATCTTCAGGGAATAATAACTGTTAATTTTATTCGTTATTGAAGCTTATTTCAAAATTTTTAAATGCTTCTATGATTTTTGATGAAAATTACCCTAAAATACATTGTATAATTCTATATACTTTCTTAAATCATAGGTGCACAGAATAATGCCCATTTAACTTTTCCTCATAATTTGGAGATATCACTGTAAACAGCTATTGTACATACTGCTTCATTTGCTTGTAAAGTTTTGTTGGTTCCTGGTTGGACATGGTGGCTCTTGCCTGTAATCTCAGCACTTTGGGGGGCCGAGGTGGGCAGATCACCTGAGTTCAGGAGTTCGAGACCAGCCTGGCCAACACAGTGAAACCCCGTCTCTATTAAAAATACAAAATTAGCTGGGCGTAGTGGCAGGTGCCTATAATCCCAGCTACTGGGGAAGCTGAGACAGAAGAATCACTTGAACCCGGGAGGCAGAGGTTGCAGTGAGTCGAGATCACGCCATTGCACCCCACCCTGGGCAAAAAGAGCTAAACTTCCTTTTCAGAAGAAAAAAAAATTTTCTTGGTCCCTGTATTGAAAGGCTCCAGACTGTTATAATTTGATATCCTGTCTATTTTTATGTCATTTTTAAATCTCCTTCATTATTTACCATACCTTCTTATTGGTACAGTCTATTTGCATTGAGTTCTAAAGGCCTATAGGCTCTCTCACAGTTGTGTGGACTTCAGTGTGTAGATTTTGCGGCATACGTTTTGTTTATTTTTGCAGCATTTCACTTGAAGGTTCTTGACCAGGTCCTGCAGGTTGATGTTGGTGAGAGAATAACCACTGGAAAAATGATCCATTGTTTACATTAATCTGAATAGGTTATAAAATAACTCAGTGACGCTCTGCTTGGCAACAATTTATTAGGGAGTTAGTGAAAAAGTCCTGACCCTTTTCTAGTTCCTGTGTGTCCATTTCCTAAGGGTAACTTTATCATTTTACCTAAGGTGGTGGGATTTTAAAAAATGTCATAGCCACCTATTTTCAAGTCTTTAAATGTAATCCAAAGATAAATCTAAAGAGTTTGTTTTAAAAAAAATTGATTTCAATATGTATGACCTTTGATCTCATAGTATGAGTAATTTAAAGTTGGCCATACGATGATCTTTAGTCTAGAAGGTATATAAGTAATGCTTTGTAGTATGGTGTGCTATTTATAGATTAAGATTTTTACTAAAAATGTTGAACACTATTTATTTGTAGTGCTTGGTTAGTTTTTAAGAGGTATAGCTGGCAAACATTATTTGGCTAAATAAGAGAATAGAATTAATTCCAATAAACTGTTTTGTAGATGATTAATATACAATATATATTGTATAAGCTTGTTCTTACTTCTGAAATTCTAGGATGTGGTTGCTATTGAATCTGAAGTAAAATCAATGGAAAAAAGAGTTTCAAAAATCAAAACTATCCTATTATCAAAAGAAATACTTGATTTTTCTCCTGAAGAACATCTTAAACATGGGGAGGTAAGCATAGATTATTATTTAAAGTACTTTCTTATAATACTTATTATGTCTTTTTAAAAACAATATGATGTGATACAAAAGCATTTAGTCTTAGTAGAGGAGGTTAGGAAATTGATGGGAATTACTATGTATTTTAATCATAGTTGTAGTATCACCTATGTAAAGATAATTTTCCTATAAGTTATTTTTTCATTTAAGTCAAACTCAATGCCTTGAGTACCTAAGTCAGGCTAAACTGGGTTCCAGCCGCAGCTAGACTGCTCACTGGCTGCATGACTTTGAGTAATTAATGTTTTTTGGATTCTCTTTCATATCTGTTCACTGGTACTGAGGTGATGACATTGGCCAATTATAATGTAATAGAGCCCCTGACAGAGGAGCTGGGACATAAACAACAGACAAAGGTTGATCCCCCCACTCAGCCTAGTGATTGAGAGCATGTGGCTTAGGCCCAGGGAGGCCTGGATTCTATTCCCAGCTTTGCCTCTTACAGACTAAGCTTACCTGGATCTTCTAACTTCTGTGAACCCAATTTCCTCACCTGTGAAATGGAGGTGAAGGGGGTTGTGAGGATGAGTGAAATGATATTATATGAAATATGACTTAGTAAAGTGAATAATCTCTTCTAATGTATTAGTTACATAAATCTAGATTTCTGTGGCTCAGGTATTATTAAAGCAAAATATAATTATACTCTTGGGAGTGTACATAGTCCCTGCGTATGTCCTGGGACTCATGCAGGTCAGTTCTGTTGAAGTCAGTAAGCAGTTTTTGAGGCCTGCTACATGGGAAGCCTGTGCTAGGTGCAGTTACTACGAAAGTGAGAGGCAGTACCTGCCCTTACATTACTCACTGCCTAGTGACAACATACACAGCAAAACGCCAGTTCTACACAGAAAGTGGAGGGAGAGAAGGAAGAAAAAAGTTGTCCAAATGCATAATTGAGTACTGGTAGGTTACTCTTCCCCAGGTATTCTTTCCTGAGACCTTCAACTCCCAGGTCACGAGTGACATTGTAGTTCTTTTCAATCTGAGCTAAGAAATTGTTTTAAAAATGGAAACTATAAAAACTAAATTATACAGTATTTTAATTTTGAATAATTAAATTTAACAGTGACCATTGTCTTTTCATTTTTGTAACATGCGTCTCTTGCATAATTAAGGTCATACTTGAAAACATATGCCCCATGAAGAAAACCATTGCTGAGATAGTGTCTTACCAGGTGGGACTGAGGTTACCCCAGACAGGAATGAAACCTCTGCCTGTGTTTCAGCGGACAAATCAGCTTTTACAAGATATAAAACTATTGGAAAATGTGACTCAAGAACAGAATGAGTTATTAAAGGTGAGCAGTTTCTAATGACAGCCAACCTAGTGGATGAAAATGTTCACCAGTGGTTTTGTTTTCATTTCTAACTGAAATTAATTATTATCCTATTAATTATTATAGGAGGTGGCATTTGATATAAAAGCATATCTTCATGCTGAAATGGAGCTAAGGTTATTTTTCTCAGTTCTTATCCTTGTTCTGGTTGAAGACATGAAAGCATAGTGATGGTCTATTTAATTTCATTCCAAAGTTTATTAAAGACCTTCATGGGCAAAATGCTGTGGGAAGAGAGTCAAACCTGAACAAGGCATTGGCGGCCTCTGAGGCCAGCAGATCTAGAAAGTAATCATCACCGTAGTAATCTCTGCTTTCTCAGTCTGTCTCCTATAGATTGTCTCATTTTGTTACGAAACATGCGATATAGGTTGAGTAGGCACTTTATCATCTTTGTTTTTACAGATAAGGAAGTTGGCATCAGGGTTAAGTGACCTGCTAAAGGACCACAGAGTTAACGTGTGTAGAGGTTAATTTATGTATACACGGAGCAAGAATTTGAGTTTCTAAGCTCCTGGTGTCATTTTGCATATTGAGAGATGATATTTTTCATCTTCTCCCCAGAGAGGTTTGGTGGAGGTGGTGGTGGTGGTTGGGTTTTGTTGGATCACTAGTCTCCATCAGGAATCGTCATTAGTTAGAAATAATCTTTAGTTTGGATTCCTAGATCAACAATCACTCCCACAGGAACAGAAAGTTGCAGAAAGAGCCTTAAACTGCACAGACTTTCAGTCCTCTCCATCCACCGCGTGCGTGCTGCCTTTCCTGATTAGATGGGTCACTGTAGGGCTTATTTTTTATTTCTTATGAGAAAAATGAAACCACCTTTTGCTTGAAAAAGAAAAATGACTGTATCTTATTCCCTGTTAAGTTTCATGCACATTTTTGTTCTGTTCTCCTAAGGTTTGAGGATACTGTACTCTCTGGTTTGCGTCTTAACTCTGGTCTGGCTACTAGTCAACTGATAGCATTCTGTAACATCCACAGAGAGAAAAAAGATCTAGCACTCAGTGTACTATCTCATAATAATATAAAGAGAAGAAAAAAATATAAAATTTGATCTACTATTTTCATCCTGTTGTGCTTTATTGGTCTCCTGGTCAGAAGAAGAAAGCAACAGTCCTAACTATGCTTTCAAGTGGCTTCTTCATAACATGAAAGGGGTGAAATAGAAGAGGAAGTTCTATTTTGTGCCAAGTTAGGTATCAAACTGTGCTGCCCAAACTTTCCATCTCATTGTGCTGATGGCAATCAGATGTCCCTTCATATATTTCAAATCTAAGTAAGACAGAGGTGATGACAGTCATTAGAATATGGTACATTTCCTTTGATTTCTACTTGAGATATTGTAAATGACCTTGTAGAAAATAAGACATTACTTTTGTGGGAAGTAAGGGGCTGTAGTTCATTATTAAGGGCTGGGGAGCAGATGTGCACAGTGCACATAGTTACTCATTTCCAGCCTACAGCTAAAATTATGGTTAAATATTAAAGAAAATACAAGGAAGAATTCCATGTTAGCTAGAAGCTTTGTAGTTTTAAAAGGCATTTTGCTTCATTATGTAGCATACCAAAGAAGTATCTCGTTTTTCTTTTGAAGTTCGTTTCCTTATTTTTCATCACACTTAATCATACTATTTAGTCCACAGATAGGTCTGAGCTTTGCTGCTCCCCCAACGCTAGATGCCAGGTATTGTTCTGGTTAGTTTTGCTTTATTCTGCAAATTCAGGCTGTTCTTGAACCCTCAACCTCTTACTCATAAAATCTACATCACTGATCCCAACGGGTACCAAGTAAAGATGAGTTTGGACTGGGGAAACCCATTGTCCCTCACATCACATGCTCTGTTCAATCTGAATCAGTTATGTCACCTTTCTATGTGGAAAACCCACCGTGGAATATGTATTAAAATGGTGTCTGTGACTCGTCAGTAATTTTTCAAAAGTTAGCAACTTTATGTTGACATGCAATAAAATGCTTTACAGAAGAAACTTACTGGACTGGAAATACTTAAGAGTAAAGGTGTGTCCAGTGAGGCTTGTACTTTAAGCACTGCCCAGCATGCCCTGGCATCTAGGAGAGCAAGAAGATCAGGTGTCAGCTTGGCAAACATTCTTCTCTCTGTTTAGGCCACCACATCCTACTGAAATCTCAATGGTTGCGTATTTGCTGTAAGTGATTAAAACTTCTGTGGGGATAGGCAATGAAAATAGTCCATTAATCTACTTAGATTATGACAATTTTTTTTTTGTGGGGGTTATTTTATAGGTAGTCATAAAACAGATCAATGAATGTGATGAAGAAATAGAAAATTTGAAACAGATCTTAAATAATCATTCAGCTCAGTTATCCTTTGAACATATGTCACCAGACCAAGCTGCCAAGCTGCCACAGCTACAGGTATGTTTCGTTCATTCATAAAGGTATGTTTCATGTGTCCATCAGTCCATTTATTTAATACTTACTAAGCCTTTGGTGTCTAGAAGCCTTTCTGGTGTATAGTGTAAGTTCCTATTTCTCTGTAACAATTTCTGTGTGTATTTACATTCCATTCCTATTTCATAAAATAGGTGATTATATAATGATCATTACTAAAAAATGATAAAATTGTAGCCCTTGATGTTTAATCAAGAGAAGCCTTATCTTTGTATAGCCTGGGCAGCCCTAACCTCAGAAAGTGGGCCAGGGTTGCCACATCTCCGTCTTTAATGGAGGGCTTTTTAAGTGCCCATAGACTTAGCCTGATGCCTTTTGATCTGAATTTGCCCTGGTACCAAGGAAGCTGATATAACATACAGGATATGTGGACAACCTGACTTTTTGGGATAGAGTCAGGCAGTGTGGGCAGGCTGGGCTTTGGCAGTTAAAGACCCCAAATACTATTGTAATGAAGAATTCCATATTCTAAGTAGTATTGCCATATGTCGGAATTCACAGTATCCTGTAGATTCAGCTACAATGGTTTGCAGGTTAACCGTCTATTACTAGTTTTTTTCAGTCATTGCTTTTGAAGTAGCATTTTTATAATGAAGAAAAAAAAAAAAAAAAAAAAAAAAAACCTGATCGTATGCTAGGGATAATAGAAAGCTGCTTTTTTTCCTGCCATCGAGTTATGCAGGCAGGCAATTAATATGGTACTCAAAGGAAGATTTCACCACTTGCTGGCTGTGAGACCTAGGGCAAGTGATTTGACATCTACAGAGAAGTACAGGGGAGTGCAAAGTGACACAGCGGTTCAACAGTAGATCAATAATTCCCACTCAGTATTAAAGACTCAATATTGTAAAAACATTAGATTTCCCCTTATGCTGAAAATTCGAGGACCCCAAAGAGCTTTTGTTTCTATGAATTATATCCATTGATACAGAAGTTAAAACTCAGAAATGTAAAAACATTTGTTTAGTTTTTAAGTAACAATAATAAACCCACAACATGTTAATAGGAATAACTATTTTATTATTTTTTTTAAGAGAAGACGTCTCACTATGTTACCCAGGCTGAAGTAGAAATAACATTTTTATTGAAGTAGTTATATTTTCTGAAACAAATAGTAATGAGAAGACTGACACTGTTTTATGTATTTGTAATATCTTTAATATCCGGCTTAATATTAGGTCAGTGCACCCACCTAATAGACAGACAGATTCTTACGTTTCTGCGTTTGATCTGTTCAGGCCTGTAGTTTTGTTTTAAGTATGTGAAGACAATCTAGCCTCTCAAATACATGCACTTGGAAGAGGGAGGAATATTTTAATAGTCCTTTTGAATAATTGTGGATATTTTTCTTTGAAACTATACAAAGACCCAACAAGTGCAAATTACATATTAATTATAAAATGGAATCTGAAGCCATGTCAATGACCTTTACATGTTCTTATGTTAAAATACATCGGTCTACTTTGTACTTTGAATGGATCTTCTAACAATGAATGCTTTTATAACATCACGTTAGATCATTTGGAAAATATTGATTTACTGAGTTGTGCAGATCTTCCAAATGTTGACACATTTCAAGTCAATATTTCTTTAAATCATAGTTGTTGATATTAACACCTATCTCTTCAGAAAAATCTTTTAGTATCTAAGGAAATCAATATAGTTTATCAGCTGGCATTTTTCAAGTAAAAATAGTGTTCTATGAATAAAAAGGATAGTTCAGCTTACAATTCAAACAGTGGCCTAAGTGGTGTTTCTCATCCATTGGCCCTTGGTAGGCAGTAGAAGTGCCATATGCATACTTGCCATTTTTTCACAAAGAATACTAAAAATACATGCTGCTGTGGTTTGAATGTTTTTGTCCCTCCCAAAAATGTTGCTCCCCTCCAACATTTGTATTCATGTTGAAACTTAATCACCAATGCAGCAGTATCGGGAGGTGTGGCCCTTGGGAGGTGATTGAGTCATGAGGGCTCCTCCCTCATGAATGGGATTAGGTGCCCTCAGTAAAGGGCTTGAGGGAGGGAGTTCACCCCTTTTTGCCCTTCTGCCTTGTGCCATGTGAAAACTCGACAAGCCTCCCTCCAGGAAAATGGAATTTTTCCATAAGAATATCCTTGATAAAGATATGTGTCTTAGTTTACTTGTGCTGCCATAACAGAATACCCGTGACTGGGTAATTTATAAAAACATCAAAGTCAAGAACCCAGTAACAACGAACATACTTGGTGTTCCTGCCTTGATTGATATAAGGTACCAGTAGTTATACCTACCATTGCCTTCATGCTATCAGTGCAAATGTCAGCACAGTATAAAAGGCAGATAGCATGTTAGTACTACGAAAATTATCTGGACCTCATGCACTGTGGCCAGGGGTCTGCAGATGCTGCTTTGAGAACAGCTACTCCATGTAGGACTGCGGCTCTACTCTGTTTCTGTTATTCTAGTGCTGTAGTGTTGTTCTTGTTGGAAGGCAGTGTACTTCTAAAGTTTAGTGTTTATTGAAAATGGAACACAAAATGCAGCCAACTCAGATTGAAGTCAAACTGTTATTTCTCAAAAAGCAATCACAGAAATGTTGACTTCAGACAGAATAAGGGTATTGGCCTAGGAAAGTGTGCAGTAGAGCCATGAGAAAGCCCAGGCCTATGTTCTGCTAGCTGCTATCTGCAGCTTTGGACAAATCACCTTCTTTCCCTGGCCTTTAGAACTCTCCCTTGCAGGTAGAGACAGATCACGTTTCTTTCTTCTGTAAGAAAATTAGTGCTTCTATGAATATCTGTAGGATGGGTGGATGGATGAGCCACTGCTCACTTACTTACTTATTCTACACTAAAATCTTCCTGCTAAATAGGAATAAATAAACAAATAAAGGTAACATGTAGTATATCTTATTATGGGAATGATGGACAGAAAGGAATGATGGACAGATGGAAGAAAGGAGGAGGAAAGAAAAGGGGTTTAAGGAATATATTGGGAACAAATTTCAAACACATGAAGGTTTTCTAAAAAAGAGCAGACTGCTTCTGATGCAGCAGTCACTTCAGGAGCTCAGGCAAGTTGAATGACATCTCTCAGAGGTGCTAGAGAGGGGGATGTTAGTGTATTTGACACCTGCTATTTCTTCCACATTTAAGAATCTATAATTCTATAGTCATCTCAGATAAACAGTGGGCATTTGCATATCTGCCATGTGTAAGAAATTTTATTTGCACGTATCAATAAATACAAATGTTAAAAGTAACATTATGAAGCTCGGGGTCATCTGTCCATCATTTTCATAATAAGATACACTACATGGTACCTTTATTTGTTTATTTATTCCTATTTAGCAGGAAGATTTCACTGTAGAAAAAGTAAGTAGAGCAGGATAGACTCTGCTAAAAAAAAAAAAGTATGCTGGCTTGTGTTGCAATAACAACAAAAAAAGTAAATGAATTTAGTAAAACCAAAGAACACTTTCAAAGGTGATAACAAAAAATGAGATTTATATTTTCATTTTCTCTTGGTGGTTCCCAAATGTTAGTCTGTTTAAGAATTTCCTGGAGAGATATAGGAACATGTCTCCTGGGGACATGTGTTTTTTTTTTTGAGATGGAATTTTGCTCTTGTTACCCAAGCTGGAGTGCAATGGCACAACCTCAGCTTACCACAACCTCCGCCTCCCCTCCCAGGTTCAAGTGATTCTCCTCCCTCAGTCTCTTGAGTAGCTGGGATTGCAGGCGCCTGCCACCACGCCCTGCTAATTTTGTATTTTTAGTAGAGATGAGGTTTCTCAGTGTTGGTCAGACTGGTCTCTAACTCCTGACCTCAGGTGATCCACCCACCTTGGCCTCCCACAGTGCTGGGATTACAGACGTGAGCCACCGCGCCTGGCTGGAACATGCATTTTTAATATGCTTTGGGACACAGTGGGAAGTATGCATAAGACACTTAATGCTGTGTTGGTTAGTGTGCAGACTCCTGGACCCCGGGCCATGGATTCTGGTTCTCTCAGTCCTATAGCCGCTAGACCAGTAGCTCCCAACCCTGGCTGCACACCACAGTCATCTCTGGAGCTTGTTACAAGTTTCCATGCCTTGGCTCAACCCCCAGAGATTCAGATTCACAAGGTCTCTGGCAAGGCTATAGCTTATAAACCCTACAAAGGACCTTTGGAAATGCAGCCAGGATAGAAGGAGCTTTGCTGTGCCAGAGGCTAGCTTCCGGCTTTGTAAACTAAACAGCAGAGAAAAATCTTTAGCTCTTGTACCAAAGGAAGCAGGTTGCTATGGGCCCACAAAGGCCTCAGACTTCTCAAACCTCTGCAAACACTCTTTCTATACAGGAAGAAATCGAAGGTATGGAAAAACAGATTCTGAGTTTGAACCAGAAAAAAGAAGATCTGTTGGTGGACTTGAAGGCCACCGTACTAAACCTACACCAGCATTTGAAGCAAGAACAAGAAAAAGTAGAAAGAGATGTGCTGCCAGCTGTAGCATCAGAGGAGGGCAGAGTGGCGGAGAGGGATGCTTCTGAGTGGAAGGTGGGTCTGACTTTAGGTTAATGCTGGCCCCAGACTCCACAAGAGCATTAATGGGTAGTGTTTTCCATCTGAACAATCTGTGGCATCTACATCTATGTCCTGTAGTAAAGGAATTTTTAAAGGCGGAAATATTCAACCTGAGGTTGTTTACTGGTGAATATAAATCCTCAAGGTGTGCCTGTTCTAGGCTCCACCCAGAATTCTTATGCCTGAGCTACTTTAGGACGTGCTTATAAAATTTCACAGGCACGTGGATCAAGCCTCCCTTTGAAGTATCTTCCTACGGAAAAGTCAGCCGTTTGCAGACGCAAGAAGGGCCCAGTGCCTCTCTAAGCCCTCTCTGCATGCACATCGCTGACTCATATTCTTTAATTGTTTGATGAGGGGCCACAGGGTGGGGGCATGAAAATGACAAGACTGAAGGTTTGACTGACTCGGGATATCTGGCTGGAGGAGCGAACTGTACAGGAGGCAGAGGCTACTTGTGGGGTGGGCATCTTGGATAAAGCAAGTAAAAAATTAGCTACATAAAAATGCAGCCAGACCGGGATCTTGATGACGTTGACCAGCAGCCAGACTGCAGGTGTTCTTGTGCTGTGCCTTTCAGTTGAACAGAAGAGGCTCCATGTCTTACCTGGCAGCAGTCGAGGAAGAGGCGGAAGAAAGTTCTGTGAAGAGCCAAGTAAGGGAAATAATTTTCTTGTTAAAGTTTGTTAGAACCGAACCTCTAAAAGAAGGTCAATGAAAAGATCTTAAAGTGAATGGAAACCTAAGAATTTTTAAAATTAATGTTGATATTTTAAGAGTACGACTGAAGCAGTTCTCTTATGTTATTAATGTTTAAGTGTATCGAAACCTACTTCACTGTGTAAGAGTGAGATGAATGTAATCTAGACATTCTTGTTGGCATACAGGAGAAGATGAAGAAGTTCTCTGTATAGTATCCTGATTTCTGAGGACTTTTTCTGAAGTTTGGAGAGCATGCTGTTGGTTTGCCACTCCTGGTCTCATTTTTAGAACTGTATTTTTCCACATTTCAATTACTCTTTTGGTCTAAAACAGTATTTCTGAGGACATGAAGAGTTGTGTTAGCAACTAATACTAAGAATTCATACTACCTAATTATAACTGGTTGAATAAGACATTTTCAGTTGTCTTTTCTGACATCGGTTTCCATATCGTACTTGAAAAATGAAAGTTGCAATGGGTCTTATGCCAAAAGGAAGAAGATTGAAGCAACTTACAGTTTTTGTGATTCTCATGTAACCACCAGACACTTTTTAGGCTCATTTTATAGATGGTTAAAGAGCTCCACTGTCACACAGAATAGACCTCCTGTCCTAGAGTGTGTCACTAGGACATGGTGCAACTGTGACAAGGAAGAGTACAGGTTTCCTGTGCCCTGGGACCAGCAGACAGCTTTGCAATCTGATTATAACCCTTCATGGCAGAGAGAACTATGAGAATCACAAAGGGACAAGGGGCCAAAAAAAGTGACTTCGGTACGATGTTAATTTGAGACGTGTATTTGGTTCTGAGCTCATGGTTATAGTATTATTTGTCTTTGACAGCAACAAAACAATACCTGTTCATCAAGCTGTTGTTTTTGTTTTAATTGACAAGTAAAAATTTTATATGGTCAAAGTATTAGCCAGGGGTGGTGGCGGGCGCCTGTAATCCCAGCTACTTGGGAGGCTGAGGTAGGAGAATCTCTTGAACCTGGGAGGCGGAGGTTGCAGTGAGCCGAGATCACACCATTGCACTCCAGCCTGAGCGACGAGCAAAACTCTGTCTCAAAAAAAAAAAAAAAAAAAAAAAAGTATATATTTATGATATGTGTGATGTTTTGATACAGTATATGTATATATGCATTGTGGAATGGCTAAATAGAGCTAATTAACATACACATTACCTCACATATCTTTTTTTTTTTTTGCAATGAGAACACTTAAACTCTATTCTCTTTGTAATTTTCAAATATATATTAACTATCGTCACCATCATATACAAAAGATCCCTTGAACTTTTTCCTCCTGTGCCTTTTTTAAAGTGCCCTTTGACAAACGATCATGTAATCTCTGGTCACTGGTAACCATTATTTTATTCTCTGCTTCTATGAGTTTGACTTACTTACATTTCACATATAAAGGAGATGATGTGGTATGTGTCCTTCCATAGGCCTGGCTAGTTTCACTTAACAGAAGATACTCTGAATTTACCCATGTGGTTGCAAATGACAGAATTTCCTTTTTTTTTTTGGCCAAATAGTATTTCACTGTGTATCTGTACACCACATTTCTTTAGCCATTCATTTGTTGATAGGCACTTAGGTTAATTCCATATCTTGGTTCGCTGTGAACAGTGCTGTAGTGAACACAGGCATGCAGACATGTCTTTGACATACTGATTTTTTTCCTTTGGATGTATATTCAGTCGTGGGATTGCTGGTTCTATTTTTAATTTTTGAGGAACCTCAATACTGTACCAATTTACATTCCCACCAACAGTATTCAGGGGTTCCGTTTTATCCA